TGCTTCAGAACACCTGTCCAAACACATCCTTATGTCTGAATAACCTTGGTTTGTTTGTTTTTTTTGGACTGCAAACTGGAGGGACAAGGAGGCATGAGCATCACTGATGGAAGCTTTGATGAAGGGCTGTCCGTTGACTGTCCATTTCCTGAAATGTCCCTGAGCACAGGGTTCACAAGAGTAATGCTGCAGCGTGCCGTGTTGATAAGCATCCATTCGATCCTGCCAGGGTTATTTATGACGGCTGCACATGATCAGAGACATGAGCTCAAAGCTGCCGCTGCTTCAGGAGTCATGTGACCCCTTTTTTTGGACTGAATTTGGCAACCTTTCTTATCAGAATGGGTGTTTTTTTTTCTTTGTTTTTTTTTAACTCTAATTGTTTAATGATAATCAGTTTTTAATGTCGCGGCTTCTTGTATTTAACATGCCAAATAGACCTGTTTTGTCTTAATGTCCGATCATTAGAGACAAAACATGAGCATGTATAAAGTGTGAAGCGTTTAAAAATCACATTTTTTCCCCCTTGTTTCTGCCCCCCGCCCCTAATCATTCAGTCTTTTTCTTGTTTGGAAATAACTTAAGGAAAAAGACACAAATAACAAACCAAGTCTGCTAAAGAAACTGAAGTTAAGCTATACCTGTACAGGAGCTTTTTTTTTTTTTTTAACTCTGCCTTTCGACTACTCGCCTTCACTTCCTGTTTGAGAAGCAGTGGCTCTTCCCTCTGAGCGTAAAGGTTGGTGCACCGTGCGGATGGAGTGCTTTGTGTGGCTGCTCCTGCCTCTGTGCTGCTAAAGCCTGTGATTCAGCACTCGCGGGCTTAGCTCTTACATTATCCGCTCATCGACGGGCAAAGGGCAGAATACATACGTTGTACAAGGGCCACCGCTCATTGTTGTGCGCTCTTGCCGGTGCCACTCGCCTCCTCAGTTGTGACGGGGATGTTGGAAGGTGGTTTTTCAGATGAATTTGACACTGCAGAAAACTGGTGGGAGCACTAGCCTTTGCAGTAGCTCAGAAGGAGGAACCAGAGGAGGAAAACAGCCCGCGTTAACTTATGCTTCTCGTCTTTGTACAAATTACTCCTTGAAAACAAAAACAAACAGGCCTAATGGGATCCCAGCACCCTCTTTTCTTCCGAAGCAATAGCAGGAACAGAGGCTTGAAGAATGGTCACCACGTACTGGACGATGCAGTTTGAGAAAATAATGATTGACCCGGACAGAGAATATACGTTTTACCCCATTTGCCCTTTTTGAAATGGCTTTTTAACCACATCTCAGAACCTCAAGATAACACAATGTTTTACCATTCTTTTATTACACATTATATTGGTTTATACCTCACACCCCATCAGGTTTGGTGCTTGATCGACTAAAACTAATTGGATAATCGGTCCCATAAGCTTTTTGCAAATACGAGCTTCTGGGTGTTTTTTGCTTATGAATCCCAAGATCTTTACACAGAGTAGGGACACTATGAAAAGACCCATGAAAAGAAAGGATCCATACTAAACCACCATTTTCCACTTACTTTGTTCAAAATGAGCAAACTGCCAATTGAGTACATACTTTGAAAACGAATGGAGGAATCAGGAGTCCTCGATCATGTGACGAAAACCCCCACTTACACCTAAACAGAAGACTAAAAGCTATGAACTGGGGAATAAGTGGCTGAAAGAGAAGAAAAGTTAGTTGGACTTGCAGACGTTTGACTGTTTACCTTCCTCTGGTACTGGCTCTGTTTTCAGGTTGATCTAAGATGGAATAAGGGAAATGTCCCGTGACTGAGTTTTGGAGAGCGATTTTAGCAGGCTGGGTTTTTTCATGGACACCTGTGGGAAAAAAATGGTCGTCCCGCTGGTCATCTTCTTACTGACCCGCACCGAGTCTACACAGAACAGAAGGAGTTGATCCAAATCACATTACAACATGATGATCGGTTTGAAACTGGATTTTCTTCCGCTGTTACTGACACACAAGATTAATCTACACTTTCACTCGCATTCAATTTGATTGACTGGAAGTATTATCCAGGAATGCATTTAGATGTAGTTTGTGATTGGAGTTGACCGTTTTTTAAATCGTTCGAGGGGGAATTTGTAGCTGTGGCCTTTAAAAATCACTACCATCATTAGGGTTTTTACCTTTATCTGTAAATTTCATATTCAATATTAATAATGATTATTTCTCTCTGTTGCATGTTTAACAAGAACAAATTTGACGAATAAGAAAACAACGATGAGTTGTTTCTGATACTGAGCTATTTTCACATTTTGGTTGTGTCGTGTCATAGGTGCCATCATTATTTACGCAGTGGTGTTTCTCATCTGTTTTTGATCACATGAAGCCAGATTAAATAAATTGGGTAAGATGCTTGAACACATCGCTTGCCCCAGACCCATTAAATCCCCATCAAACCTCTGCCGCATCAGTCCAGACAGCCACAGCTGTTTCCCTCCATTCCGCCTCCCTCCGAGCCTTTATGGATCATTTAATCTGTTCCTTGAGATTTTCAAGCAAACGGGGATTAAAGCAGCAACAGGAGAGAGATTTGCGGGATAAAACGTAACCGCAGTGTCAAATCCTTGAGGTAAAATATCACATTTAAAGGCACAGGATGACAAAGAATAGTCCGGATTACTTAAAGCACTCAATTCGTTGGAAAACGGGTCGTTTAATGAGGATGCCTGATGTTTACTTTGGAAAATATAACGCCATGCTACTGGTTTTGCTTAACCTCGGGCTGCCGGGGCTGCTTCCCTCATTAAATCAAAAGCTTTTTTTTTCTCCGTATGGCTCCGAAAAGGCTCGCAGCAGAACTAGGAGCAGCGTCATGCTACAATGGTCCCAGCAGGTGTAACAGAAAAATTTGCTTGTGTTGCATCAGTTTTCCTGTCCAATTGACTTATTTTGGCTTAAAATCGTTGCAATGTGTTGAAGGGTTCCGTAAAACATCTGTTTTATCTGTGACCCCTTCAGTTTGTGGGATGGATGTTAGTTTATTCATTTATTTTTTTACAATAACCTATAGACTTTTTCTGTTCTTAGTTGCGTGTTCACTGTGTTATTTAGAGGCGATGCAAAGTTGTCCATTCCACTGAGCAGCTTTCTTTTGCATAATTGGCCCCATGCATGGAACCAACCTTCCTCATGCATTTGTTTAACTCAGCTCATCCAGTTTCTGTGATACCCCTGCACAGCAGGGTGAACTTTGTATCACCGACCAGCATCACCTATATACTGCTGCTGGGAAGGAAATAGTAAAAGCTGAAGTAGCCTGCTTCGTTCCTTTAAATAGAACAAAGACCTCGGTGTTTCTCATCTTGCCTGTCAGTCAGTTTGCAAAAAAAAAGGTGTCCAGGTGAACCCTCCTATATATACCTGCGCCCCTCCCCTGCAACTCCTACTTGTACATCATGTAAAATCCTTCTTTATCACCGGGTTTTTGTTGTTTATGTCACGATTGCCAAAGCCTAAAATGATAAACAACAAAGGAGTTTGTTTATTCTGCATCAACCAGCCGTTCCTGCAGCTTCGAACAAAGCAGATGAGTTAAGAGAGCGGCTGTTTTAGTTGAAAGCAAGAGGTCAGCCAGTTCCAGAACAATCGTGCACCCGCATGTCCCCTTTGATATATATATATTTTTTTATATCATGTGTCGCACATAAAAAAAAATTGTGTCTACCACCCCACGCACAATAAAGTAATGAACAAGCAAAGCATTTATTTACCGATTTTTCTCACAAATATTAGAGTAAAATGGTGAAGTGCGTTATCTTTGCTCATCCCTAAATGATTAGTAGTAATTATTGTAATCCCTGTGGGTCGTTTGCATGCATTTGAGCATTTGTGCGTCCACATTTAGGCTCAATGGGTCCACTGGTTTGACTCCCAGTACGGGGCAGAGTTTCGCTGCTGCCGGAAAGCTTCCCCAGAGTTTGATCTGGACGTAGTGACAAAAGAGCAGCAGAGCCAGCGAGGCAATTGTTCCAGCCGGGACTTAAATCCGAGTGTCGTCCTGACATAAGCGCCAATCTACACAATCCGCCGCTTTAAAGCTCTGGCCTGGTGTGGAGACCCTCTGCGGAGCATTTTGCTGTTCAGGTTTTTACAGGGAGCTACCTGAATATTTCTTTTTTGTCCAGGCTTGTTTCTCTGTAAAATATGCCGTCAGCAGAGTGTTGCCGTGCAGTTTACTGGACGTGGACGTCTACTCACAGAACCTGAAACACACGTCTCAAATAAAGGGGGAAATCCCAAATAGGGAGGTTAGAAACATCACGGGGGATATTCCTTATCCTCACTTTGGGACCGACAAGTACTCATTTTTTGCATAGGTCGTTCCTTTTTGAGGCAAGGATTTGTCAAGCATGCTAAGGGGGAAATATGAAAACCCAAACACAGATTAGAAAACACTCATTTGTGGAGACTCTGTTCAAACTGACGCACCTGAATGTTTGTTCACATTGGGTGTACCAGCATCAGGGTTGGGCAACATGGCTCAAACTTTTTATGATAGCGATAAAATTTGCGATAAAACAAAAAACGACAACATTTAATTAATAGGTTGCTTTGCAGTATTATAGAAAAAAAAAATAGAAAGTTTAATTTTACGACAATGACTTTATTTAGTAAAGTATTCAGTCTCAAAGTATAAAAATAAAAAGTGCAAATTCTGCTTTTGTTATTTAGATTGAAATCCAACACAAAATCTGAAGTGCGGTTCCCAAGAAATAAACTGATAGCTAAAGAGCTTTTGAGCCTAAATGTGACATAAAACAAGAAATATGTTGCCTTTGAATGAGGCATCATTGCCAAAACTTATTACAAATGCTAAAAACAAAGTAAATGCTGCATGAAAAGATTGCTTCTCTAATAGATTTAATGCTGCCAACAGAGTCTCACGTGAGATTATGCATCACGCTCAGGTTTCTTTAACCATGTTGATTTTTTTCCTAATTTGAACCATTCTTTCCTCTGTCTTTGCCACTCTAGTGACCGATGTGGAGTTGAAGCGGTTGAAAGATGCCTTCAAGAGGACCAGCGGCCTCTCGTGTTACATGACCCAGCAATGCTTCTACAGGGAAGTGCTCGGAGATGGAGTTCCCCCAAAAGTCGCAGAGGTAAGCCACCGTGATGTCACGCCACTGAGTCATGCAGTTTAAGTGAGAATTTGCTGCGGTGGTTAAACTTTTCACGATCTCGACGAACCACTAAAACTCCAGTCAGAAACGTGGGAGCAGTTCTCTGAGCCATTGAAACGCTGTTAAAGGAAACGGCCGGGGGGAGTGATTACCATAAAACATCCACATCGCTGTTATTAGCCTGCTGAAAAAAAATATTCAGTTGCAAAAAACAATACAAAAAAAAATGGAATAAAAAAATCTCGATATATTATGAAAGAATTTGAAATTTAAAGGAAAATGTTTCTAGACATTTTCACCCAATCAAGTTCTTATTGTATAATTAAAAATACGTCAGTACCAAATTGCAAAGAAAACATTCAACTAAATACACAAACACACATTTTAAATACAAAGATAAACCCACTGAGCCTATATGAAAACTAACTGCACCATAACAAAGTCTAGTTATTAAACTTATTAGGTCCTACTGATCCCAGATATCCTGAAAAAAGGCAAAAACGCACACCAAATAAAAACTTAGCTCTCGGGGGCTTAGCCAGCTGGAGTGAGGAGACTAAACCAGGTGATTGTGACAGCTGTTTTGATGTGCTTTTTCTGTGGGTAAATCTGAGTCACTTGTGAATAACATTAAGCTCTTATACCGTGCATGCTTGTAACTATACTTTCAGAGTCCTCGGACAAAGACTAAACCTCACATTGCTTACTGGTGTAAATACCAGTATGTGCGTGAATGTGGCACCATTTAGAGACTCTGCATCTCCATTTTTTTTCCAGATGAATTGTAAAAAAAAAATAGAAAGGAAATATGATTTTCCCGTCATTATGTCGGGCTTCTGTGCACCTCTCCTTCCCAATCATGGAAAGTAATTACTCAGTGGCGGTAAAGTCATTTGTTATCCCACGTGTCTGCGCGATTCGGTTCTTCAGCTCATTTGTTTTGTCTGTTTTTTTCTTCCCTTTTTGCGATGCTTATTTTAGAAAAATGCAATTAGCGAGTGCGTATCTCGCACACTTGCTTTAACCAGCGTTAAAGAGCTTTATCGCAGCGATGCAGAGATCTCCTTCAGCGTTCAGGCCTTGAGGGTACAGTAACGGCACACGCTGCACCTTCAGAGCACCGTTAGTCATCCCGTCCTCCCCCCTTTTGCTCTCAGACTCCTTTCCCTCTTATCATTCCCCCAACCCCTCTCTGTTTCTGCTGCTTCTCTGTCGCCATGGCAGCAGTTACTGGGGTGACAGTGGTCCAGACACGAGGTTGTTGCTGGTGTCTTCAAACGAAACCAGGACGTTGCATCTTTGACATCTCAAGAAAAAACCAGTCTTCCCCTAATCAGCAGATGTCTGCAGCCACCGGGTTTACCTTTCATCTTTCGTTTTATTTGTATCCATGGCGATGGCGTACAGATTGCTCCCCCTCCAGGTCGCATTCATCACATTGAACTTGTCCAATTTTCATTCCAACTTGCTTGGATCAAGTCAATAAGGAAAGTTCCTATTACTCTTGTTCAGAAACATTTCTCATTTCACAATGATTCTAAGTTAGCTAATACTGTTCATAATTTTTAAAATCACAACCTAAAATGGCACCAGAGTAATCTTTATTATACGAATATGAACAAGTGAATCGAAGCAATGACATCGTGATGAGGCGTCCCCTGTATCTCGATGTAAAAAAGAAGAAAAAAATGCTTCCACCGAGGTTTTACGCCACGTAATGAACAGGGTGTCGAAGATCCCCAGGAGTTGCTGGGAAGATCTGCTGCTTTTCAGAGGTCGATTTGTACTTTCCACGGCAAATAACCTTTGTGTTTAGGTTTCAGGGGAGTTCCCCTCCGTCTGATATGACTGCACCGTGCCCGTCTCACATACCTGATCAACATGGCTTTCTCCCAGAGGACGCATTTCAAAGAATAAAATAAAAATCTTTCTCAAATAACTAAAATCATCTGTACAAATTTATGTAGATTTAACAGTTGGGGACATGAAGAAAAGTCATATTGAGATCATTAGATGAATACTAATAAAATTCACATCTAAAAACAGTTTTTTAGTTCATATTAGTATGTCAACGAAAACATTACATAGTGTTATAATTTGTTTAAGAAGCCGCACGCATATTCAGTGTGTTGCTAAAGCTTTAATTTTCATCTGTTTTGAATGGGCTCTTTGCTAAGAGGAGGAGCAATACTGTAGATAATCAGGAGGCAGCAGATGCGGAAGTGCGGTGCTGTGAATAGAAGTTTGCAAACTGTGACACATTTACTTCCTTTTATTTACTTTTTTTTTTCTTCTAACCACAAGTGAAGTTGTTCTAGTGTGTGACCTACTGACAGGGACATCACTCATGAAGCATGCCAAAAACAGCTCCCTGCACAGTCATACAAGTCGGTTTTCAGGCACTGCTGGGCAAACCATTTCAGCCCCAAATATTTAAATGAATTTTTAACATTTTGGAAATTCTTACTTATCTGTTCCGCAGTGAGAAACTACAGAACCACAGAATTGGCCAGTATGTTTGAAGTGACAAACTGTGAGAGTTTGTGTTATGTGCTTTGTAAATGGAATCAAGTTGAGCTGAATAAGTTCTCGGTAATAGCACTTAGAGGCCGGGACGTTCCTCTTTGAATTGGAACCGTGGCTTAGAAACCCCCAGCAAATTTGAACCAGCGACTGAATACGAATTTTAGAAAAATACCCAAAGCTTTTCAATATGTGCAGATTTTTATTTTACAATGTTTTTACTTCACTTTTTATTGTTTTATGGTTTGACTTTGGTCAGTTGTGTTGTTTTACAAATGCTTCACAAATAACGTTGAGTTACAATTGTATTTTAACTAATTTTAATGGCGGTGATCTAAAACTAAAGAAATGGGTAAATGGGGGGATTGTTGCATACACACCAGTTGTGGTCTTGTTTTCTTTTCTTTAAATTTGACCTGTTGCCTTCTCATGCTGCAGATGGAAACAATAGGTGATGATATAAAGCTGTTCCTGTTTGTCATACTTTGACTTTGTGTGTTTGTTAAGGTTATCTACACCTCATTTGGAGGATCATCCAAAGGACTGCACTTTAACAATCTGATTGTGGGGCTGGTGCTTCTGACCAGAGGGCGCGATGAGGAGAAAGCCAAGTGTAAGTTATGACGATATGCTGGGCTGAAATCTGCCTTCATGTTGAAAGAGCTCTCTGTTTATTCTTTCACACATCAAAACTGACTCTTTGTGTCGGATCTTCCTGTAACAGAATGCAAAATATCCCAAAAATGACAGATTTTATTTACCAAGGTGCATTTTTTGGTATTTGAACATGTCTGGTGACATTTTGGCAGAAATTACAGCATTTTAGATTTATCTTCTGAGTTTTACAATGTATTTTATGTCAGTTATAAAGTAAAAAATGGTCTCTTCTCTATTCCAGGATAGACCATTATTAGATAACTGGGTTTATTTTGTTGCATTGTTTTGGTCAATAAATAGACTTATGAATTAACTCAAGTATGATAGTTATGACGATGTTTATTTGGCACGTTTGTGTGCTCCCACTGGGTTTATGTAATTGAGAGTGGGCAAAAATATCCCCAGAGACACAATTAAACAGAGTCGCACTTAGACTCAGAACAATTATGACAAGTTGCAAAACTAGTGCAAAGGCTGTTGGTACAAAAAGCAAGCGGGCAGATGGGAGAAAAGCGGCTCTTGACGAGATGCTGAGGACAACTGCAGCCCACACACCTCCCGCTAAGAAACAACCCACATTCGGGGGGTTCATTTTCACAGCGTCGCCGGCGTTTGAAGAAAGGCCTCCAGTGGAAATATGTTCATGTCACATACCACTAAAGATGTGTTGCCCTTTTATAGCTAGGCTTTATTCACTGCTAGCTCCCCTATAGCTAATAAATGTAGCTTACACTGAATTTTAGCAACACTATGGGGTTTTTTAAATTCTTTTTTTTTGCTTACAACAGCAGGACCAGCTCTCTCATTTCACAAGCATGTTTCGAAACTTGTTTAGTTGCACTTTAAATGTATGTAAAACTCTCGGAAGTAATGAAATGAAAGGAAAACATGTTTTGAGAAAAGGCAGATAGAGCTAAAATCAAGATTGATTTGCTTTGCTGAAAACATAATATGCTGGATCACTGCAGATGATTGAGCATGCATACATTTACAGTGTGCTTAAATAACATGAGGAAAGTTTCTAGGTATCACTTCATCACACATTGGGTTGGATGTAGATCATGTTTTGGAGTTATAATGCATTAATTCCAACCCATCAGAGGGCTATGCTGACACGGTCCCATGTATTTTCTCTACTGCTGCAATGTGCATGAAGGCTGCCTCTGTGATGAAGACACATGCTTTTATTTTTTTATAAAAATCTGTTTATTTGTGCGTGCACGCTCACAGATCTCTTCAGCCTCTTTGCCAACGATTTGAGTGGCTATGCTGCCAGGGAAGATATAGAAGCAGTTCTGCAGGTCCTCGATGGAGAAGTCCCATCTTCCCTGAAGAAATGCTTCATCGAGGTGAGTAAAAACCACAAACCATTTACTGTCGGACTATTCTTCGGTAAGCAGTAGTGATACTTTTTTTTACATTCACCACTTGGGGATTTTCTGTTGAACACGTTCAGACTCTGCTCCAACACTTTGAAACGTCCTATAAATGTGGTGGGGTTTGCTTTCCTCTGTCCCTGCAGAGCGACAAGATAAACTATGATCGCTTCAGGAACTGGCTCCTGCAGAACAAGGAGGCCTTCACTTTGTCCCGATGGCTCCTATCTGGAGGAGTGTGTGTCACTCTGACAGATGACAGCGATACGCCCACTTTCTACCAGACTCTGGCTGGTGTCACTCACTGTAAGTTCTTTAGAAAAGAAAAAAAAAAAAGACGTTTTGGTCGTGTGTGTTACACAATTATACATGAACGTGTCTGTGTGTTGTCTCCATTTCAGTTGCCTTGAAAGAAAATCTCTGATATCTTGCTCACTGTGGTTGTAGTCTATTGTTAATGTCTGGCGGGGGGGACAACCCCTCACAGTGTAACTTCACAACAAAAGTGTGTGATTGCAACAGTTCAATCGAGGTCCTTCAGTGAATTGTGAGTTTTACCAACCGTTTTCAGAGCAAATGTTAGAGATGAGACCCTTGGATATGATGAGAAAAAAACATGCAGTATTTAATAGTGGCCTTTTTTATGTTAGCTTTACAAATACAATCCCTTTTCCAACTGCTTAGATAATTCTGAAATATTTTACTGTCATCAAAAATGCCGTCATTTAAAAAGAAAATCAAATGTTGCTTCCACTTCTTCTTTTGTATAAAGCAGAAATCCTAGAAACTACCACAGAGGTTCTAATTGAATGATTACTTTGTATTTACCGTTTAGTGACAAATCGCTCTGGCAAATGCCTGCAAGAAAACCTTTCATCAAGTATATTTTTCACATAATTTCCCTTTTAAATGTGCGTCTTTGTTAAGCAAACCACAATTTTCCCTTCACGTCTGCTTTTTGTAAACATCTCCTTACTCTCTGGTGCGCTCCCCCTTAGAAGACACAAATCAATGTTCCAGTTCGACTTTTTTTTTAATTTTTTATAAATAATTTCAAATACTACAACCAAAGTCACCCTACCATTAAAGAAATTTAAGAATAACATGACATTTTCTGAAAATGTAAGGACTGGAGGCTACTAGGCATTTCCATGTGCTATTTATTCTCTTTTTCAAGGCAGATTGAAGGTGGTCTCCGAAAAAATATTTAGAGGAACATGACACAGATTCAGTTTCATTCATCAACCTTCTTTAAGCGGACACCGATAAGCCACTGAAACATTGAGATCCTCCGTTCTGACGGCCAAATTGTGACTATGAACTCTGTTTTATGCAGCACTGAAAGAGAATAGTAGAATAATTAGATTTTTCTAAAAGATTTGCCCCCGATAGACGACTAAGCGTTGTATGTTGGGATGATAGGTTCATTGGTCTTTCGGTTTGTGATACTTTACAACGTACTTTTTTTTTTTTTCCACCGATTCACTGAATTTCCCTCTCCCTCATTTACAGTACATTCATGTCTTCCCTCTATTGGTTGAATTTTCCCTAGCCCACTGAACAACCAGTTAGCCAGACGGTCAGCTGTCATGCTCACTGTTCCTGAAGCTTTAGGGGGCAGAACGGGACCGTCAGAAACCTTTTTAGCCGCAAGGTGTTTTTAATCTGATTTGTGCGTTTGTTATTTGCCTACTTGCCTCCACTGTAATGAGGGGGAGTCAAACTAACTGGAAATTTGGGCTACTTTACATATATGTGGGGGACTGTAATTGTGTCGCCCACTTCTGTTTTGTGTTTTTTTGTGGTTAGAATTAAGCTGCGGTTAGCATTCAGTTTTGATGTTTAAGGTTAGCGTAATTGCTTAGAATGTGCCCACTGGCATATAAGCCAGATGTATGTTTATGAGACCAAGCCAGATGAGGTGAAGGACTGAACGTTAGTTTTGAAATCCTGCGTACATTTTTCTTTGTTTTCTAAGTGATTGATCTGTGGCACTCATGGAACAATGCTAGCCAGTTAGTTATGTGGCTGTTATCATCGCCAACAAAAATGTTTGCGACCCGCTGTCTGTTCAGGCTAACTTACACCTGAATGTTTCGGAGCTTTCACGTTGCTTTTAACAGATACACAGAAAAATAAAAAGTGTTCAACACAGGGGTCTGTCCTCCCAGCCTCTGACCATCCTCTTTAAACCCCCTGATTTTATTTTTGATGTGAAAAACCATTTACCGCAATGGTTTATTTAGAGTTACAGGCCTAGTAAATATAGGTAGGCTTTATTTGACCAATTAAGGCCAGGGTTGGAAAGAAGCTGTCTTGTCCAGTGAACCTGGATGTTGCCTTTAATCTGCCTGGCTCCCGAGGTTTATCCTCTTAACTTTCTGTCCCCGCATGTGAGTGCGTATTTCTTGGGTGTGTGTTGGGGCGAGAGTGACCGACACTGTCCCGGATCATGACTTTTTCTAGAAGAAGATGGTAAAGCTTGACTCATGACGGAGCTTAGCGCGGAGAATCATCTGCTGACCCGCCGGCTTCCGGAAATATCCCGATGCCGTTAGAGTACAGACCCTTGGGGTAGCGGCCCATCGTGCAGGACGCCATCACTTTTGTCAGTGGCTGAGGTGGGAACTATGTTTCACACCGCTTGTTGGGACACCTCTCTGAAGATGTTCCCTGGATAATGGTATGGTATCTCTGCTGTCAGTCTGAGAGAGTCGCACCTCTAGGTGAGTGTCGGACTAGCGGGGCATCTTATGCAAACACTTTGGAAGATAAGATGTATATTTGTCATTTGTATGAGCTAGAAAAAACGTCCGCGTGCCATCCCCTTGCTCCTTTAGTTTCTTTCGATATGTGCCGAATAGCCTGTTTTCGATTGGGAGGACTTATTCTTTGAAGTGTAGCATTTATGTTTTGGTTCCTTTTTAAGAAATGAACAACCTGTGGTTGAACAGGCTGATGTTGTGCTAGATTTTTTTGGTCTCTTAGGAGGCGGTAGTTCAAACCTCAGGTCTCAAAACAGCTGAACTTTGGAAGAAATATCAATCCTTGAGAGAGTAGGTGAACAAACCCAAACTGCAGCACTCGAGAGCTAATAAAGAATGACTGATGAAACCTTTGGTGCCTGGCTGATGATGGTTAAGTGGAGTGCGACCCTGAGATGGATGGAGGAGATGTGGGAGGAATCCGATGGGAGGACGATGACTTTTATCGACCTGCAGTCAAGCTGTTGGAGTACATTAGGATTTATTGCGTTTCTTGTCTTTCAGTAAAATCAGTGATGTGTTATCAAAAAAAGAAAGCTGCTTCTCTAATTTTAATCCTCTGATCTTTAAGTCTTGATACATCAGCTGTAACTCTGTTGACCACAGCCCAACTTGTGAGCTTGAGCTTGTTTTCTGAGTTAGCTGCATCCAGCAGAGCTTTAAAACTGAGAGGTGTTCGGTCCTGGATTCAATCCATAACCATCAATAATTAATCGGTTTTATATTATTTCCTCCATGGATCTCCACGTAGGTTCTTTTAACAGTTGATGTCCACCATTTTGCTCGGTGCTCCCTTTTAGTTTGTTTTAACTCAGAGCCAGGAAGCGCCATGCAGTAAACTGCTCGGATGTTTAACTGACAATTCTTAGTGAATGAGAGCAAGGAGAAGAGGGAAATTGTTTTTTACAGCAGCTAGCTGTAGCGATACTCCTCCCATCTGACCGAAGTTGGCCACTGTGTTTCCGAGAACAAGCTTTGAACAAGGTTCGGTTTTTTGATCGTCCGCCTTCTGCCAGGAGTTGACTCCCATTTGATTCCATGTCTTTTGTTTTGACATCTGTCATGTGTGTTGATTCTAAGCCAAAGGCTAGCTTTCTAGCTGTTGAATCCTATTAGCTTAAGCTGCGGATTAGCATGTTGAAAGGGTGAGACTGGTTCATTGACCCTGGGAAGCCTCATATAGTATGCTATATTCGTCTGATCCGCATCGCTTCATCAGTCGAGTCCAATTGTCATTCCTGCTTTTGGTCATTATGTAACCCCAGTAAGAGTTGGTTGCTATCTTGATGCGAATGTGCTAACTGTGTTCCACACAGCGTACAAAAATCCAAATAATAAATACAGGTTGTTCCGGCTGTTCAGGCCGGCATTTTACTGGATGTCCCCGGTATGACTCATGGATTAAGTAACTGATGCTGGTCCCGCATGCTAATGATTACAGTGCAGTAATTGATAAACAGAGCTTAGTGTCGAGCCTCTTTTCCTGGTTTGGTAACGTTTGCTCAGTAAAAGTGGCAATTTAATAGGTTTGTCTGAAAGTTTTACAAAGGCAAACGCGTTGGTTCATTCACATTCATTACTATTTCTAACGGCTCCATTCTTAATTTTTCCGTCAAGATAGCAGCTGAAAACCCAACGACAGTAAATAGATGTTTACTAAATCAAATTTTTTTTTTCCTGTAAAAGGGAATGTTTTTACGATCCTGGTTCAGAAAATGTCTACAGTGATCATTTTATTTTCTGAAAAGAAAAGGATTGGGCTTTTTTTTTAAAATAGTATTGTCTGCAATCTATGGCATTTTGTCTCACTCCAATGTAGAACCAGGATTATTTCTCCATCATAATTATTATTTTTTTCATCCTTCTCACAAAACTGTAAGGCCTCTGGTTATATAGCTCATGTTATTCAGGTATTAATCAAAAATATATCCTGTAATGGCATTGGAAGATGTAATGAGTTTATCCATAACTGCGTCAGGTTGATGTTCCCAGGCTGTATGATTTATTTAAATCTCTCAAATTATTATTTTTTTAAAGATGGAATAAGGCCTATACATCATGCTGTGCACTGTTTTGCTTTTGTAAAAAGTACAAAAGCGGATATTAACATCAGGCTTTCAAAAACTGAATGAATGATGATCATTGAGTTAGTCAGCGTCATCCATCCTTGTGTCAACACTTTGCTAACATAGGGAACGGGTTTGTCCTCTTTATAAGGCGCACAGCTTATCTACACATCAATCATTACCTATGCAAGATAAAATATGCATGTTTTCATGTCACCTATGTTTGCACACAAGCTGTTGGCGCCTATAAAACTTTTTATGGGTGAAAGAAAATGGCTGAGCAAGTGGTTTTTAAACTACATGTAATCATGTTGTCATGAGAGTGAAAGTATTTGCATCCTGGTTTTATCCTCATGAACTCATTGTGCCTTTGCAGTGGAGGAGTCTGACATTATAGACTTAGAGAAGCGTTACTGGCTGCTGAAAGCCCAGTCCAGGACAGGCCGCTTTGACTTGGAAACCTTTGTCCCGCTGGTATCTCCACCCATCCACGCCTCACTTAGTGAAGGTAAGAGCTTTTCTGTTGGTTGCATAAGTCAAATAAAAGAACATATATATATATCCTCAGAATCGGTACACAACTGAAAACGGTAATCCTAAGGGGCTCACTCTTTGTGCTAATTATCTGTACTGTTGCTCTTATGTTGCAGGATTGTTTCATGCGTTTGATGAAAATCGGGACAATCACATCGACTTTAAAGAGATCTCTTGTGGACTCTCTGCGTGCTGTAGAGGGCCCATTGCTGAAAGGCAGAAATGTAAGCGGCGGTTTGTTTTCAAATAGCTTCAAATGAGTTAACTTTATCGTACCATGTCTTCTTATTTGGAATATATTGAGTTTGATTTCATGGGTATCAGTTGCTGTGTCAAGATCGACACTGATCCGCTGAACATTTTTATTTCTTCCCCTTTCACCGCCAGTTTGCTTCAAAGTTTTTGATGTGGACCGCGATGGGGTCCTGTCTCGAGATGAGCTCCATGAAATGGTCGTGGCCTTGCTGGAAGTGTGGAAAGACAATCGCACAGACACACTGGCCGTAAGTAAACACACTTTGATTCTTGGCATGTCAGCACAGTTAACAAGTTCATTCTAATCATAAAACTCCCTATGACCAGGGTCATGTATCTTTATTCATGTTCTCATCTTATCTCTCTCCAGAGCTCAGACTGACATAAACATATGTGTATTTTATCGTTTTTAAAAGTTTGATAAACATTCTTGTTTTATTTCTGATAGTGGTCAAAAGTGACTTTATTAAAAGGGGAATATAATTCAACAATCCTTTTGTCTCTGAAAAAGTCTAGTTTCTGTTCACCAAACACATCACAGTTGGAGGCCTTTAGATATTTGGGAGGTGGTTAGAATAGATGGGCGTCTGGAACCCTAAAAGAGCCAGCATGTTGTGCACACGCACAGTTAGGCTGAAGAAATCTCAGTTTCTTTTGCAAAATAAATAAGGAATGGAATATAAGGCTCGCTTGTTGTTTTGATAAAAGCTGTGCATGTGTCTGTATATACCCAAAATGGCAAAGAGCCAAGCGGGTTGCAGCAGGCAGGCCAGCCCAACGGACTCATTTCACTATCATACACATGCTCTCACTCGTCCAATGATAGCAAACTCTCCAGAATATTTGCTGATGCGGTGCATGTTTGTACATTGTCTCCGCCGCTGATGTTCCAGAGATTTCACCAGGGGGGCTGGATGGAAAAATCTGTGCAGGAAGTCCACAGCAAACGGTGTGACCATTTTCTCCAAACAATGCCTCGTATTATCTCTAGAATGTGTCAGGACTTGAGTGAGTGGGGACAAAAACGGTTTAGTCCAGCAAACTTTCCAGTCACTAGGAAGAATCAGTCCAGAGCTAAACAAGGTCTCTAACTATTGTTTGTGCTTTTTTGTGATTTAATGTTTTCAACTCTTTATATTCAAATAAAATATGCTTGTTTTTTACCGGGCAAAATTTAAAACACGGCTTACTGATCTCTTCTCATATTTTCGGTAGTTGTGTTCTCGTGCTCGATGGAATCTGAAACTATACAGTTTCATAGCCTGAATGCATGATCTAGTAATCAATCATTATTCTTTTTGATGAGATAGCTGCACAAAATGGAGCAGACAGCAACAAGAGCGGAATATGACATATCCCTCTGTTGCTCCTGTGCCTGTGGTTTTACAAAAGATCTGTTCTCGTCTCTAAATGTTGAATAACTATATCATGGTGTTTTTGGGAGAAGTGATTGGAGCTTCCCTTTCATATATTTGTGTTGTGTTGCAGGAACTGCACAGTAGTGTATCAGACATAGTGGAGGACATCCTAAAGATGCATGATACAACCAAGGTGAGACACAAGAATGACAGTAATATGGAATATTCACGCAGGGGGCTTTTTTTTTCATCCAAATCATTGACACAAATGAAATAAAAAGCAGCACAGGGTGCCCTTTGAACATAATCTTTTTTGAATAGCTTTACAGATTAGTTTTTAGAATGTTTTTACAATCCCAGATTGTATTTAAATAGTTTAATAGATTCCCGTCTCAGTATATAATCCCAAAAGGACTCTGTGGTGTTAAATTCAGGCCTCTGAGGGATCCAAACGCTGTTTGCTCACTGTCTGAAACCGACTATGTGGCTGGTGTTGAAAGCACATGCGACAGAAACATTTGATCGATGGAAAGAATCCTTGCGTACAAACAGCTGTTGAATTCACTGGGTGAAAAAGCTTGGGCATAAGTGGAGCTGATAGAGCAGTTTTCCACCCTCTCTCGTATAGCATCTGTTTACACTATTACCAGCCTCAGCCTGCCTCACATAAAAAAGAGCAGCCCGGTACACCTGCAGCAAACCTTCCAGTTAAAAGCTTTACCACGAGGTTATTTTCAGACACGGTGCCGTTTGCAGAGGAACACTTTCTACCCTTTTTCCACAGTTTCTCAGCAATGTTTTTATTTGGAATAGCGTGTCTTTGTATTCTAACCTCTGCAATGTTTGATTCCCCATCAGCTGGGTCACCTGACCCTTGAGGACTATCAGATCTGGAGCGTGAAGAGCGCTTTGGCCAATGAGTTCCTAAACCTGCTCTTCCAGGTTAGTATATCAGCATACCGTACTTTATAAACTTTCGCTAGTATTGAGGCAAAAACAATATTATTAATCATTACTATCATTTCATTTTGATTGTGCGTCTGACTTTGTGCAGGTTTGCCACATAGTTTTGGGGCTCAGGCCTGCTACCCCTGAGGAGGAGGGGCAAATCATAAGGTACCTGTTCGTTTTTTTCCCTGTCTTTTCATTGTATATACTACATGGACCTAGTGGAGCTTTTAAATGGGACTTGTGTCCAATTTTTTTCTTCCTGTTTGCGTGTGCAGGGGTTGGTTAGAGAGGGAGAGCAGACATGGACTGCAGCCAGGCCAAAATTGGTTCCTCATCTCCATGCTGTGGTGGCAGCAGTGGAAAGACTACGTCAAATACGTAAGTAAATATCAAAGTGGAAAACGTACGCATCGGCTTTTATGCTTAGCTCTCTCCCGTGCATTGTCTTTACTGGCCAAGTAGCAGCATAACTCTTAACAATGCTCCAAATGGCTGTCTACAGAACATCCAAAATTAAAGATGAATACATGAATTACATGAATGTGATTTGCGTTGGTAGTTGATCTTCCAAGCTGAACACAGTTCTTCAGACTGGACAAAAACAAGAAAAAAGATTTAATCATACAGAATCAGCTGCATTTGAAAAAGGCTAACGGCAAAAAAACTATTTTGCTCATGAAGACATCGATTATTTAGTGCTTAAGTTTTAAGGTTTAATGTCATATACCGACTATCCATCCATCCATCCATCCATTATCAATACCGCTTATTCCCTCATGGGGTCGCGGGGGGAACTGGAGCCTATCCCAGTGGTCAACGGGCGAGAGGCAGGGTACACCCTGGACAGTCCGCCAGTCCATCGCAGGGCAACACAAAGGACAAACAACCACTCACACTCACATATACCGACTATCCTTTTTATTTAATTTTTTTTTTTTTGGCCCGACTGTAAGAGCAAAAGCACTTTAGAATTACACTGTACAGGTGCCACTTTAACTCAACTTTGCACCTACTCTTGAGGGAAATAACATGGATTTTTCATCCACATTTACAATTGAAATGATTTTGGGTTTTTTTTTAATCTGTTATTGTTTTTGAGAAAGAAGCATTTTAAATCTTAATGACACTGACTCTCTTGTAGTCATTTTTTCCTGCTGGGTCAATGAAGAAATATGATTCCTGATAGATTATTGAAGCTTTTCAAAGTAGTTCAGCTTCTATTAATTGTATCTATAAACACAGAAATGTATATTAGCATTTATCAGCTCAGTTACTTTTGCTGTGTTATCAAAACCCCAAAAGGTTTCCCTCTGCCATATAAATGTAATTCAATCTTGTTAGCTTCAGGAAAAAGAGGCTTCAGGACTGTACAATATGAGATTAATGTCAAAAGCTACCATTGATGGCTGTCATCATGTATAATATATTTATAATTGTCTGTCTATCCATTGAACTCAGATAGTATTAATTCATTAACCGTTTAGAAATTTACTAAAAGTGGACAAATTGTCACGGTGCCATGTTTTTCCAGATTGAACAGAACATGAAATACGTTAATATACTTTTAAATAGATTTCTCTCACAGCTTAAAATATCAAAATTATTATTTATAATTTTGTACTAATTTGACCAAAGCGTAATGAGGAAAGTATATCCATTATCCCTGCTGCTTCTCAGCTGAGAGGCTGCACAACCAAACAAATGTCTAAATCCTTTCAGCATTGCAGTTTTTTCACAGCAATATATCATGCAGCCATTAAAAATAAATGCAGTAAGTGGACAAACGAGCTGCATTGCACTACACAAAACGCTGATGGATGGTGGCAGGAGAGGAAAGATGGAAGTTTACCTCCTGCCCTTAAGACTTGTTCCAGCAATTATCACTGATTGCAAAAAACGCACTGGAGTAGATACTGTACTGTTCTTATTTATTTAAGGGTTGCAATCTGCCAGATTTCTGTCTGTTTTGTGTTCAGTTTTGTGTCTATCCATTCAAACGACTGCTGAAGCTCAGACTGTTTAAAGTGTGCTCGGTCTGATCTAGTCAGATTAGAGTCACACAAAAAGGGGGATCAATCACATGTAACTACTACCATTCCAAACGAAAGGAAAGGAAAGCATGAGTGAAAAGCAGCTGCAGACTGCCTTCATCCAGACTAGCATTCAGTTATCAGCCTTTAGTAGCAGTTACTGTCATGAAACCCCACATTAACCCCAGCTATCACTTTAAACAATGACAGGGTAGTCCCTGCTGTTGTCTTCCTGTCCAGGAGCATAAGGGTATCGTGGTGGAACAGCCCTCCATCCTCAGCTCTTTCCGAACCCCGATGGCCACAGCCACCGTGGAGCCCACGCCGCCCGTCAGACTTGGAGGACTTGGGACCTCCGGCCCCATCAGCCCCTCTGAGGAGAGGTCCCCCGATGCTGTGTCCAGCGCCTCGGAAGCCACAGAAACCGGTTAGTCTTCTCGCTCAGCGTAACAGCTGATAATGAATCCAAATCCTAGCTGTTCGGATTTAGCAATGGCCCCACATTTCCCCAGTCACTTTAATACAAATGCAGAGAAGCTATATGTTGCCTTAAAATTGGACAAAAACAGAGAGGTTCCTGGCTAATCAAGATAGAGGCATTTGTTCTGTTGAGTCTTTTTATTGTAATGGTGTTTTCAGAATCCTAAAATCCTCAACCCTCAACTGTTTATCCCTGACCCAAACCTTACATCCATGCGCAGTTATTCATTAAAAAAATCTGACTTTATATTTGTACTACATTAAATAATCTGCAATTTCTTTGCTGGGTCAGAGCCACAAAACTGAATAACTGATCAGAGTGCTCACCAGCTGCGCCGAAACCCTCATTACAATCTGCTTGTTATATTGATACAGCTTTTTTTTTAATCTCCAGAGTTTAGAAAATATGTTCTGTCTTTAACAGGGTCTCATTGTTTTCTCGCTTTTTTGCCACGTCATACATTTAAATTAAATTTGTTTAGTTATTTCCTGTAAAGAATTATCCAAAGGTTTCCCCTTTAATAAGGCTGCCTGTTTTCCCAACTGTCCATGTTGCCTTTTCATAGATGTCTGCGCTTTAGCAGTAGATCGGAGCTAAGCTTAGTTTCTGGTATGTTTCTGTGGCTGCTTTCAGCCGCGTCATTTTTGAGGGTGACTGTGTGTTTTGTGTGGTCTCTACCCTCTCCTTTCAGCTCTGAGTCCTCAGGTAGCTCCTTCGGCCACAGAGAGCTGTTTTGCCCGTCAGCACAACGTGTCGGATAACAACAATCAGTGTTTTTCTGGAGCCAATGGCCACCTCCCCTCCCAGCTGGCAGCACAAAGGCCCGGGGCCATTGACAACCAACCTCTGGTCACAACTGATCCCATGAAGGCAAGGATTGAGTCAATTAGCTGAACAAAGTCATTTTAATTAGATATATCGGGAATAAAGATATTAGATATAATAGGAAACTAAATGGGCTCTTTTACATCTAATCGTTGGTACGCCAGTCTTCAAAAGGGTGTTGAAGACATTGACAGCAGACCAGTAAAAATGACTTTGCAGTTGATGTAAACTTTAATGAGCTGGTGAAAGAAAAATCACTGTACTTCCCGTGAACATTATTCAAAGTAGTTGAATATTTTAGCCTCCCGAGGCTTTATCACTGCCATGTTTTTACTCCAGCTTTATGCTTGGCAGGCTTCGCCGCTAGATCTAATTTCACTTTCAGAGAAGGAAGACCTAAATTTATCCTCCAAAATTTGTCTTTCAGAAAAGGCAAAACTACTTTGATTTAACTGGGATATATTTGAAAAGGTAGTCAGGGCCTAACGCTGCAAAACAGAAAAATGGACGGCTAGTACACAATCATTTTACATTTCAATACCCTATGTTTAGTGGAATGTGTACGTCATTGATCGAAGTATATTTCAGTTTCACAAAGCAATCCAGTGGCCGATAATGTCCAACAATTGTGTCCTAAGCATTTTATACTCTGTTTGGAATTCCAGGACTGATACAGTCTCTCCTGGTTGATCATGCAACCATGCCAAAAACCTAGGTGTTACCTAGGTGTTACCTAGGTTTTTGACAGTAAAAATAGTTTGTTCTGATAGAGTTCTATGTTCTCATAGAATGCATTTCTGTAACAACACCTGAACAAAATCTGTGTTTACAGTACTGGCAGTATTTGAAAGTTGTAGTTTTACAAAAGAGACGATTCCCATTTGAAAAACACTCCTCTTTTGGCAAAAGCTTCCAGGGACCAGATGGTGCTTCCTTTTTGTTTTGTCTTATCTCTACTATTTACGAGAATGATAGGAATCGGCAAGCTCGTGCATAGTATGAGGATATTGTCTCTGACTATTATGTGTAATTCGAGGTGACAGAATAGTGTCTTTTGTACGCGGGTTTTAATGCGGATATTTGTTGCCGTCTCCCCTCACAGGCCCCTACATTAACCATGGAGGGTGGTAGGCTGAAGCGGTCTTTGCAGCTGGTGCCTGGCAGAGACTTCGAGACGGTGCCAGAGCCAGTGTGGCGGGCACTGTACCACTGGTACGGTGCCAACCTCAGCCTGCCACGACCGGTGAGTGAAAGGAGCACAGGCACTCCACAGCCATTTAAGCTCCACGTGACCAGCCACTATCCAACACCCTGTGAAGGGCTGAGCTGAGGATGTGTGTGGTTGTACGACATCTGATAAAACATGCACTTGGTTTTTATTGGTTTAACACAAACTAGCAACTCATCCAGGAGATCCAAATAATTTATTCGGGGGCAAAACTCGAAATTTTAGTTTTGAGTTTGTATTGAAGAAGCAAGCACTACTCCTTAACGTATCTGTTCTCAAAGTTTGTGCATGGTATTACCTCTAATTCATCTATAGCAAAACATTTGAATACATTTGCCCTGTTTAGGGTAAAATAAACTTCTCGTGATCACCTCGTCTCTGGAGCAGGCTACAGCATTCTGTCAGTGTTCTCACTCAGAATCACCCTTTGTTTGTTACTTCTCGGTAGTATCATACAAAGTTAGACAGCTACGATGTAAAAACCTGAGGGACAAAAAATACAATCCACAAATAAGTCGTATCTCAGTAGATCCATTCAAATATGTGGAAAAGTAAAGTATCAGCTGGTTTCAGGTAATTAAGTGGAGAATATTGTTCTTACTGAGATATCTTTAGTCAAGCACAAGCTATTTCTCCACATATACCATTCATGTTGTCATTTTTGTTTTGAGAGTTTATGTAGATTTAACCTTTTAAAATGTAATTGAAGTTGTGAAATAGGTCTGATCAATTTGTTTATCAAAGTTTATTTTCATTCAGACATAGTGTTTTTCCTTCATTTTAATTTTGTGTTTGTTTTGGGTTTTTTTTGTTTTTTTTGTCTGATCTGACCACTTTTTCCCATACGTTTGACTCCAGACAGTGTTTTTAAGGACAGACATACCAGTCTGCTCAATGGAGCTTTCCAGCTTCATCAGACCTGCCTTTTGGTTCTATGTTGCCTTTAGGATAGCTATGACCAAGAAAAACAAATGACACGTGAATGTATTAGACAGGAAAGCAGACCTACTTGCTTTTATACATGCTTCACATCTCCTGCTCACAAAAAGGCATCCATCCATTACTAAGGCTGACTATGTTTTTACCGAAGTAGTTTACCTATTAAAGCTTGATTTGTGTTAAGCGTGACCGTCAATGTTTTTTTATTCAATTTCTGCAGGTAATCCTGGAAAGCAAGTCTGGCCAAGCAGAGCTGGAGCTCTTCCCCCGCTACCTCCTCTTCCTCCGCCAGCAGCCGGCCACACGCACTCCCCAGTCCAATATCTGGGTCAATATGGGTATGACCAGCCTGCGAATGTTTCCACCGTATTTGCCCCCACCACGAGGTAATGTAAGCCTGCAGCAAGATCAGAGCAAGCCGTCGACCAACGCTTCACTGAACAATCCCGCATCCCCCACTTTTAATCTTCGAATAGACTGATCCACCCCAGGAAGTGTTCTGGAGCTACGAAGGGGAACGACTAACCATCGTAAAAGTTTAATAATTAATTTTCACTACTTGAAAAACACCTCTACAGTGATTAAGTTACATTAATCTGACAATAGTATTGTCCAGTCATGGAGACACTTCTGTGACCTATTGAATTCATCCTACTCTCAAGCTACTATGAAGAACCTTTTGAACAATTTCCAAATGTCACGGTTAAATTATCCAGTCATAGATCATCTGTAATCATGAATGATCATTCAAGTGTTTGCTGTCAAACACAAATTGACTCCCATTTAAAAGTAATAAGCTAAGCAATAACTGCATTTGTTTCAAGAAGAAAAATAATTCACTGTTGGTAAATTAAGTGCTGCCACCAGTGGCAATTTTGGATTTATGATCTGAATGAGAAGGAAAGCCTTCCTTGTGACTCTAAAGTTATGGTGGGACAAAGACCAAGAGTAGAAAAATGCTCCAGAACATTTAAAACCATCGCTTCCGGGATTTTTTCAAATAATAACATGGCTGTTTTGAACTCCATCTACAAAAGGCGGCAATCACGTCTTGCTTCTTGTGAGACATCTCTGTGTGAAATTTGAACCTGGCATTCTGTATTCCCAAGCTCTTTACAGTAACGGCTCACTTTACCACAGCTCCATCCATAGCTGGGACGAAGATTTGCAGCAACACTCAGTACATTTATAATATGACAGCTAGTTTGATTTGAACTGAAAATAAAAACAGAAGGAGATCTATATTTGATGAAGCTTCTACAAATAGAAGCTATATTTGTAGGTAGCTTCAGGACACTGTATACACCAAGTCACACAAGCTACAACAGAAGCTTAATTTCACCTTTAGGTTAATTTTCCTGCCCATAAACGTCTAAAGTGTTTTTATGAATATTGATACTGAAACTGCCTCACGCCTAAGATAGTGGCATTGAAAGTAATTTCAGCTGAAATCACATTGGGGATGCTGAGCCTGGCATCACATGGCAGCGTGAGACCAAATGAACTCATCAGATCATATTTCATAGCTTTTGGCTTCTGTTGTGAGTCACTCAGCCTCAGCAGCAGCAGGTCACTGCTGAGCTTTGTGCCCCTCAGGAGAAATATCTTCTAATGACCTCATACTCCACATGATGAACAAAATAAATGGGCTTCTTCATTTCATGGTATCATAAAAAAAAAAAAGAAGAAGTTGAAGCTGTGTAGATTTGGGAGGGTGGGGACGCCAGGTCTTTTTAAAAATTATTATCAAACAAATGAATAACAGGACTAATATTAATTATAGAAAATGTGATTTTTACCCCCCGCTGCGCCCTGAATCCTTTAAGTTGATTTACCAATCTTCTCACCAATCAAGCCTGCTCTGATTGACCAAAGAGACCTTCTCTTGCTGCTTTCTTACAACTAATCCTCAGTCACTGTTGGTATCAATCAGTTGTTTGCAGTGTGTTTGTGTTTGAAATGAAATGTGTGGTCACCATATCTCATTGGCTCCTAAAGCCAAATGTCTTGTAATAACCTCAGCCGACAGAACCCTCTAATTGAAAATAGTCATTGAATAAAAACTCCTAAAAGTGGGTTTGGCCTGTATGTAAAGGTTCCTGTCCTCTGGCAGGTAATGTGCCGTCCCCCAATGCTCCTCTGAAGAGGATGCTGGCTTACACGGGCTGCTTCAGCCGTATGGGGACCATCAAAGACATCCACGTCTACCTGTCGCAGAGGCTCCGCATTAAGGAAGAGGACATGAGGCTCTGGCTCTACAATAGTGAGGTGAGGTCTTTACTTTATAAAGATTAGGGAGAAAAAAAAGAATCTTTGTGTGAAATTTGCTGTTCTGTCTCCTGCCTGATATAAAATGTCAGGTATTATCCAACCAGAATCTACATCAGTTATGCGGAGTATGCACCTTTTGACTAGGATCCATGTTGATATTTGATATTTTATGCAGCTTTTTATGCAGCTGATCTTTTGGCACTAACGTTTTTTGTGGCCCAGCAACTTCCCAAACACTGTTGGACAGCATCAGTGAACTTTCTTTAGTTTCCCCATAGACGCTCTTACTCTTTAGCACCATTCAGAATTTCACTGGTTAAACAATGCAAACTCAAAATGATTAGAATTAGTCATTCCTTGTGACACACTTCTTGAGTATTGCTAGGTTGTAATCTTAGGGCATTTTGGTAAGAAAACAAATAGTAATTGACAGGCATGGGGACCGTGAAGCTGTTTTCCAACATGAGCACCAGAGAATCTCAGGAAAAATATGGCGACAGTTTTGGCTTAAAACCTGTTTTCTTAAAACCTGTTTTCACTTTAAGCGTGTCTCCTCCACTCTTCGCCCTGTAGAACTACCTCACCCTCCTTGATGACGAAGACCACACTCTGGAAAGCCTGAAGATCCATGACGAGCAGCAGCTAGTAATCGAGGGTATGGCCAGCCAAACTTTTCTCCTTCTCCACATTCAGAGTAGTTTAGTTCCAGAAAACGGATGTCTTCACGGATATGAGGTAAATGGAAATGCTGATTTAGAGCATGAATCAATTAATGGAGGCTCTCTCCTTTTCCACAGTCAGGAATAAAGACATGAGCTGGCCTGAAGAGATGTCTTTTATAGCCAACAGTAGTAAAATGGACCGACACAAAGGTAAGCAGGTCGAGCACACCGTGCATTCTTACAGAGTTCAAAGGCTTTGGTTAGATAGGTTAGATTATTATAGAGAGGGTAACTTTTAAGTGACGATAATGCCACTGAAAAGGCAAATGTAAGACAAGGTTCTTCAAAATAAATGGCCTTCTAAGACAACAGCGTCATCTAAATTAGCGTGAGGGTATGTAAAATCAATTTTATTGTTTTGTTTGGGGTCAGATTGAAGGAAAAAGACAAAGAGTAAGGGATTCTATTGAGCAGAGCAAGAAGAAAATAAAGTTACTCTTCACTGAAGAGTAACTTGAAAATCAGGCAACCGTGACACTTGCAAATTGATTTGATTTAGAAATCATCCTCATAATCTTTGTTCTTTATACATGCCATAAAATGGCATGTTAGTGTATATATAGACCCTTTTAAACTTGAACAGATTAGGGATTCTTATATCAATCTAAAGAAATGTCATCTTCCTCAAGAATTTTGAAAATTCGCTTATGGCAGTAGCAAATGTTCATGTCTACTGTGCAATTTTCAAGGTTATAATAAATATTATGCGTCTGTAACTCAGTTAGGTTTAAACCATATCTTCATTCCCTGGCATGGATTTTTGCAGTTTTCAGAAAATAAATTCAAACATTTCTGGATTGATTTAGCGTTTAATTGCGACCGGTCTGTTCTTGTTTTTTCTACCAGTTCCTACAGAGAAAGGAGCCACCGGTCTCAGCAACCTCGGTAACACCTGCTTCATGAACTCCAGCATTCAGTGTGTGAGCAACACCAAACCTCTCACGGACTACTTTATCTCAGGGAAACATCTCTACGAGCTCAACAGGTGCCCTTTGGACGCACAGGTCTGGTCTAAGCCTCAGTCTTCGTTCAGTTTTTGCCTGACTCGTGTGCGTTCATTGACAGAATCAACCCAATTGGAATGAGAGGTCACATGGCCAAGTGTTACGGCGATCTGGTGTTGGAGCTCTGGAGCGGAACGCAGAAGAACGTGGCTCCGCTCAAACTAAGGGTGAGCCGTAGTTTCGGTTTTCTCTGTAGCTTTTTCCCTTCCTCTCTGCTTCGTTGTTCGCGGGTACACAATGTAGCTTAGCTTGACGACAATTTTCAAAGTTTCGTGGAAATGAAACGTCTCTCTTTTCCTCCCCAGTGGACAATAGCGAAGTACGCCCCTCGCTTTAATGGCTTCCAGCAGCAGGACTCTCAGGAGCTGTTGGCCTTCCTCCTGGATGGTCTCCATGAGGATCTGAACAGGGTCCACGAGAAACCTTACGTGGAGCTGAAGGACAGCGACGGCCGGCCTGACTGGGAGGTGGCCTCCGAGGTTAGAGTTCATGCTGCAGATCCCGTTTTGTCAAGTGAATTGAATGTTCTCCACTCTGTCTTAACGTCGAACTTCGCTGACTGGTTTGCATTTTACCCAAATTAAAATTGGAGCGAGGGACACTAAAGGGACATATTTTGTCAATATTTGCATCGCAACTCACTTAAATCAAGTGGCATGGATACAGAAAAGGATTTCCAACACAGAGACACTATAAAGCAACACAAGCGTTGATCAGTGGTCTATTCAAGCCTAGCCTTAAAGGTTATTTTAGGATCTGGTGATTGAGAGGAAACCAAATGTTACGCTGATCTGCTGTATTCTTCATCCAGATAATTATCCTTCTTTGTTGTGTGGTCCTTCATATTCAAATATAATTTTCCTGGGTGACGTCACTACCGTCATCAAATCATTTCAGTTTTTGTTATCAACTACTTGAACAGAAATATACAGTGCCTTGCGAAAGTATTCAGCCCCCTTGAACTTTTCAACCTTTTGCCACATTTCAGTCTTCAAATATAAAGATATAAAATTGTAATTTTTTGTGAAGATAAATCTCCGTCCCAGTCTCAGGTTTCTTGCAGACTCCAACAGGTTTTCTTCCAGAATGGTCCTCCATCCACCTTCCCATCTATTTTAATTGATTAACCATCTTTCCTGTCCCTACTGAAGAAAAGCCGGCCCCAACCATGATGCTGCCACCACCATGTTTGACAGTGGGGATGGTGTGTTCAGGATGATGAGCTGTGTTGCTTTTACGCCACACATAACGTTTTGCATTGTGGCCAAAATGTTCAATTTTGGCTCCATCTGACCAGAGCACCTTCTTCCATATGTTTGGTCTGTCTCCCAGACGGCTTGTGGCAAACGTTCAAACAACATCTTTTATGGATCTCTTTAAGAAATGGCTTTATTCTTGCCACTCTTCCATAAAGGCCAGACGTGTGCAGTATACGAATGATTGTTGTCCTACGGACATAGTCTCCCACCTCAGCTGTAGATCTCTGAAGTTCATCCAGAGGGATCATGGGCCTCTTGGCTGCATCTCTTATCAGTCTTCTCCTTGTTTGAGCTGAAGGTTTAGGGGGATTGCCGGGTTTTCGTAGATTTGCAGCGGTCTGATACCCCTTCCATTTCAATATTATCGCTTGCAGAGTGCCTCTTTGGAGGTTTAAAGCTTTGGAAATCTTTTTGTATCCAAATCCGGCTTTAAACTTCTCCAAAAAAAAGTATCTCGGACCTGCCTGGTATGTTCCTTAGGCTTCATGATGCTCTCTGCGCTTTAAACAGACCTCTGAGACTATCTCAGAGCAGGTGCATTTACACAGAGACTTGATTACACACAGGTGGATTCTATTTATCATCATCTGTCATTTAGGTCAACATTGGATCCTTCGGAGATCCTCACCGAACTTCTGGAGAGAGTTTGCTGCGCTGAAAGTAAAGGGGCTGAATCATTTTGCACGCCCAAGTTTTCAATTTTTTATTTGTTAAAAAAGTTTGAAATATCCAATAAATTTTGTTCGACTTCATGATTGTATCCCACTAGTTGTTGATTCTTTTTAAAAAATGACAATTTTATATCTTTATGTTCGAAGCCTGAAATGTGGCAAGGGGGCCAAGTACTTTCACAAGGCACTGTATGTGATGACAACAATTGAGCTGAAAATGATAGACTGCCAGCAATCGGTGTAAAATGGCTTAGATAGATAGGTTAGTTCAAGTAATAATGGATCAGTTGTCTCTTGGATTTACTGGTCTGTAGTGGTCATGTCTGTATATGATTGTAGTTTATATTTAAAAAAACTTTTTTTCCCTATCTGCACTTAAAATCAAAAATTTAGTTTAGTTATTTTTGGTATATTTTATTTGATGACTGAATACTAGAATAGTGGTGTGTTCATGACTCATGGGGATTCTAAGTGCTTTCTTAATGACTGAGCAGAGGCTCTTTTAAAAAGACAGTTTCACGACCCACAAGTTGCTGGTTTTTCTTAAGGTGAAGAAAAACATTTTTTCTTCACAATTTGGCCTCATATTCACTTTTAGACTGCAAAATGAATAAACAAATCATTGATAAGGGCCTCGTGATGGTGTGAACACTCTTTAGATTCTTATAGTTCATTCTCCGAACAAAAGGATTCATATTTGTATTGATGCTGTGCGCTGTGTTCTGTTTGCTGTGGGGGACAAAGGATAACCACTGTTAGGTTTGCGATTTCATCGCTGAATGCGTGTGTGTTTGTCTCCTCCCCCACAGGCCTGGGAGAACCACCTGCGCAGGAACCGCTCCATTGTGGTCGATCTCTTTCATGGTCAGCTCAAGTCCCAGGTGAAGTGTAAGACCTGCGGCCACATCAGCGCTCGCTTTGACCCCTTCAACTTCCTGTCCTTACCCCTGCCAATGGACAGCTCCATGCATTTGGAGATCACCGGTGAGAGAGCCGAAGGGCCCTTCCTAAACAAATTCCTCTGCAGGAACAACAGGTGAACAATAAATCATGTTATGTTGTGACTTTAGTTATTAAACTGGACGGCTCCACACCCGTGCGCTACGGACTCAGGCTGAATATGGACGAGAAGTACACGGGGCTGAAGAAACAGCTGAGTGAACTCTGCAGCCTGAAGCCGGAGCAGATCCTACTGGCCGAGGTCCACGTTTCCAACATTAAGGTACCGCCCCTGCTAGAGGTCACTCTGCACAGCTGGACTCACACAGACCTAATACTGCTGCCGCTCCTCAATTCCTCATCTGTTTCTGTTGTCAAAGATAGTTCTCTTTGCCCAGAAACACTTATATAATTTTATGAAATGGGAGGCAGGACTTTATCTTTAAACTGAAAATTACAAACTCTTTATGAATGGTTTAAACAAATGTCAATCCAGGTTATAATACATAGTTCAAGAATACGTTGTCTCCCTTTTTTTTTAATCACACTCCGCAAATACTTTGTTTTCAGAACTTCCCTCAGGACAACCAGAAGGTCCGTCTGTCTGTGAACGGCTTCCTCTGCGCGTTCGAGGTTCCGGTGCCAGGTTCTCCAACGTCACTGAGCTCTCCCACATTGACAGGTCAGCCTTCCAGTTACGCTTTACTTCACCGGTAGGTCCGAATGAAGCCTGCGTTTGTTTGTTTTTTGTTTTTTTTAATGTTCTTTTCTCTGGAATCAGACACCACTCCAATAGCCAACGGCTCTGCTACTCACGGGGACCTGGGCAACTTTATCCCTAACGGTGGACCCAGCGCCATCGTGCCCTCCAGTCCAGACACACCGCTGGTCAACGGAGTTGCCAATGGACATATCACACCGGTACAGGAGAGCCCTTTCACTGGATACATCATTGCTATGCACAGGAAGATGGTGAGAATTCACAGATCTAATAGTATCATTTTATTTATAAAAAAATAGATTGTAAAATGCTTAATAGGCCATGAGACAGACCCTTGTGCTGTCATATCCTGTGATTTAAGAAGAACATGTGTGTGTTCCCCTTCTCAGATGCGCACAGAGTTGTACTTCCTGTCATCTCAAAAGAACCGACCCAGCCTGTTTGGAATGCCGCTCATTGTTCCATGCACCGTTCACACCAGTAAGAAGGACTTGTACGATGCGGTGTGGATCCAAGTGTCCCGACTAGCCAGCCCTCTGCCCCCACAAGAGGCCAGCAACCACGCCCAGGACTGGTACGCCCCCTTTTCACATCTTTACCTTTTTAAGGAAAAATGTCTCTATTCCAGAACAGCATCTCTGTTATGTTGTTAGCGTGTTTGTTCTTGTAAATTAATCCTCATGTCTTTAGTTAAGAATAAATTATTCAACATTTTAAAAAGTAATTCACTTATGGAAAACCAACCACCAGAAACTCCAATGAAATCATTTACTAATGCCATTAGTGATGTCATTTAATTAGACTATATTACTGAATGGCATAAAAATGTACAGCATAGGCTCATTTTTAGTTGAAAGCGGTAAAAAAAATTGTAAAAGTCTATGACTGCTGCAGAGCCATATAAGGCACCTTAACATTTAATTCAAAAGCCAGATGTAAGCAGGACTTTTTTTGTTTTTGTTTTTCCTTGCTGCACAGCTTTGGGCAGAAGACAAGCACTGTCATACATTTAAGGTCACACAGATAAACATTGAACTTTTCTCCCTTTAACCGGCAGTGACGACAGCATGGGTTACCAGTACCCCTTCACTTTACGGGTGGTGGGAAAGGACGGCAACGCTTGTGCCTGGTGCCCCTGGTACAGGTGAGGTGGAACGTGAACGCAAACACATGTGCACGCTTCCCAGCATTGGGAGCTGCTCATCTTGTCATGAGAAGGGATATGAGATTATAACATTTGATATGTATTTTTCTAAACAGGATTTTATTTGATAAGATCAGAAACACAAATAAAATAGTTGGAAACCAACAAAAAACCTAATGTGCTCAGATCTTTCAGGCTGGGTATCTGCAGATGTATTCATGTTTTTTTTCTGTTTCAGGTTTTGTAGAGGGTGTACTATAGAGTGTACAGAGGACAGAGCATCTGTAGGAAATGCTTATATAGCTGTGGATTGGGACCCCACGGCCCTGCACCTCCGCTACCAGACCTCCCAGGAAAGGGTAAATACACACAACACCCCGGCTGCTAGACTGGAAGCACCAAACAAAGTCACATTTTAAGGAGTTCAATGTGGGGGACAAAAAAGTTGGAATTTCTCTAAAAAGAAATTTAAGAAGTATTGTTGTCAGTGCTGTGATGTTTCCTTCCCATTTCACTACTTGTTGGAATAGAGAGGGGAAAAGTGTGGAAGCATTCCTTAAATCCATAGAACAGTATTTGTGACATGTGCTGCCACTTTGCATTTAGTTTGGGTTTGAACTTAAACAATCGCTGTAGATTGTAAACATTTTTCATTTCTGTGGTTGTACATGTAGACAATTAGCTTGTTAATCTCTGCTGAACCTGTATTTCTTACAACTATGTGGTCTTTATCATGTGTTATTCAGATATATTCCCTGCAGAAAATCAAAATGAGTGAATTGCAGGTCTGACCAACGTATCCAGAGGGTTACAAATAGAGTTACAAAGTGTTATGAAGTAGTCGTCTCGAAAAGGTCACATTGGTTTAAACTTAAAAAAGAAAATACACCATAAGTGGAGAGTGTCTGCACTTCTCGTAAAAAGCCCAGCCAAGTCCTCATTGTGGTCATCCTGCAGATTGTGGAGGAGCACTGCAGTGTGGAGCAGTCTCGTCGAGCTCAGGCGGAGCCCATCAGCTTGGACAGCTGTCTAAAGGCCTTCACCAGCGAGGAAGAGCTGGGAGAGGATGAGCTCTACTACTGCTCCAAGTGCAAGACGCATCGGCTGGCAACTAAAAAGCTGGATCTCTGGAGACTGCCTCCGATATTGGTCAGCAGTACACTCCTATCACAGTTTTAGACCACGAGCCTGAGCTCTGCTATCTGCACCATATTTGATATTGACCACTGAGCATTGGTTGTTTTTTCTGGCAGAACATCACATCTGCTTGTCGTTATCTGTCCAGATTGTTCACCTGAAGCGCTTCCAGTTTGTCAACGGACGCTGGATCAAGTCGCAGAAGATTGTCAAATTCCCGCGGGAGAACTTTGACCCCAGCGCCTTCCTAGCTCCCCGAGATCTGGTGCAGCACAGCCTCCACTCGCGGAGCGAGAGCGAGGACCTGCTGAGGGTTGGAGAAGACAACCTGTCCTCCATATCTGCTCCGGCTGGATTCTGCAACCTCCCCAAAGGTACCGTCTGTCAGATTTCCCTCAGAAAGCCAGATCCAGAATGATCCGCAGTGACAAATAAACACATCCGCTTAACCCGGGTGTGGAAATGCCCAGTTTTGCATAAAGGTTCCCTATCAGCTCTTGGTGATAATGCCATGTTTGTCTTTTCACACATCTTTACATTAGAGCAACATATGAAGGGGCAAGGGAACCAGTTGGAAGCAGCAAGGAGATAGACCACGTGCTTCCATAGACAGATTCTTTTTATCCTGTTTGGATCCACCATTACACCTGATTTGTGCTCATTGCAAGTCCACGTGTTTCTGTTATTTGCATTTGGCAGACGCTTTTATCCAAAGCAACCTACGATACGCGGATACAACATTACAGTTAACCGCAAAAGTAGCAATAGCAACAGAAAGAGAAACAAACAGAACCCAAAACCAACTGCTCAAACCAGGGGATCCAAGGCAGTAAAAACAACCACACAAAACCAAAACAGAATTATTCAAAACAGAATAAATTCAAGTGCCACAGCACAGTTTCGAAACAATATCTTCCAAAGGTACACACAGGCCTCAACAGGGCAGTAACAATATGCTCCCCGGGTCCTTGACTTCTGGCTCCCTAAATCCAGCGTGTGGCCCCTCCTGATTGGTGGGATTGCATCAGTTCATCATTGCAGGAACCTTGGGAACTGTAGTCAGGCCTCACGAAATAGAGAGGAAGTCAGCCCCCCCCCCAACAGAATACGACAGTGGCCAAAACACAGCATGTGAAATAGCAAAATAGCTTTTGAGAGCTTTTGAGAGCTTTTGAGGCTTTTGAGACCTTTGATCCCGCTTTTTCCCCCCCGACAGCCTCGCCCGCATCGAGCAGAAGATCAGCACCTTCTCTCAGCCGGAACAGCAGCCCCTCTGGCAGCCCGAAGACCGGCGGCCGCAGACCGGGCCGGCTACGCCTGCCCCAACTGGGCAGCAAGCACCGGCTGTGCAGCAGCAAGGAGAACCTGGAGGGGTGCGCCAACCCGGAGGGCGAGTCCCGGGACGGCACGCTAACAGCAGCAGACGCCGAAGCGGCGGTGGTGGGGACGGCGGTGGCGGGGGCTCTCCCAGGAGAGCAGATGGCGTCCGAGTCGTCCTGCGGCACGGAGGCATCCAGCAGCCACTGCGACGTGGTCCTGATGAACGGCGACAGCAACGGGCTGGGCTCGGACTGCAGCATAGAGAGCAGCATGGACCCCGACAGTTCTCTGCTACAGTACCGAGACAACATGTGTCTGGACGCCATCTACAACCTCTATGCAATATCTGTAAGTGGTGCGCGCCATGCTGCAGGTCTCTGTTGTCAAGCGAGCCCTGAATTGGACTTATTGTTTCCTATTTTATGTCTTCAGTGCCATTCAGGTATTATGGGAGGAGGCCACTATGTGACATATGCCAAAAATCCCAATGGGAAGTGGTACTGTTACAATGACAGCAGCTGTAAGGTAAGATTACCAGCAGGACATTATGTTTATTGGCTACCTTATCTATTTCCTGCAATTGGTTTTGGGCAAAACCGACCAAACAGGCTGACACAAAGCCTTCAAAAAGATTCCTCAATAGAGAATTCATTGCAGTTCATTAGACGATCAGTCACATCTAGTTTTGAGAATGATGTGTAACTGAAGCTATAATTGCCGTTAGATTTTTAGACAAGTCTTTAAAGGTAAAAATACAGAAGCAAAAATTGCAGCCAGTAAGAGGGGTGTGGTGAAACCAGTCCATCTGATCCATAGCTTTGGAGAAAACTGAGGGGTAACGGAGGGGTCAGCAGCTCTTTCTCTGCCCTGGATATTTGGTTAAATGCCTCTCATGATGTTGTCTCTCCAAACTTCAATTTCCCCACAGATTAAAAGTAAAAATGCAGGTAAAATCTGTTCTAAAATATCTCATCCATGTTCCTAATTGGGATTTTTCCCTTTGAGTTAGCACAGCACCATCTACAGTCTCATAAAGGGAAGGGCTTTATGTTCTCTTTAGAATATTAGAGAAACCGAACATGATGGGACTTTTCAGGTGATTTGCATTTGCTGCAAAGTGCACAAAGGACATGAAGTTGATACAAGGAAAGTAAAAAAAAAAAAGTTTTTAAAAGACAGCTCGCCCTCCAGCAAGCACTTTATTTAGAGCCCAGTCCAAAGCAATAGAATCAAATAGAGGGCTGTTATTACTTCCTCTTCCTTGTTGGTTTTTAAAAATGTAGCCTACTTCTCTTTAAAGTCACCGTAAGCAAGCATATATGGCTGCGTTACAACATCAGAGCTGATATTATCTTGATAAAAGGTGTAGTCATAACCAGGAGTGGGACTTTAATACGCGCTCCCAAACCCGGTCAGCTTCCCCTCTGGACTCTGCTCTGCTGGCCAAAAACGGTGTAAAGTGGACAGATCCGGTCATCCTTATCTGACGTCAGCAGGCTGTGCGTGGGAATTGTTGGGTTTCTGTTTCTGTAGTTAACTTCAGAGTAGGGTCTGACCTGCTCTGTTTGGAAAGCGCTGTGAGACAACTGTTGTTGTGATGTGGCGCTATATAAATAAAATTGAATTGAATTGAATTTTTCGCGATCGTGGAGAACGATTGGTTTTGTGTCAGCACGGGACAGTAGATAATTCCCTCTTTCCATAAACGTTTGAGGGTATTGCCCACCGTCTCATTTTGAATTGTCTGTCTGTAAAACATCTCTTTGCTCAAAGGGAAAAATTGTCATCAGGATGTGTCTCTGTTGTGTTTGTTATGTTGGCTTCAGTGAGAGGTGCAATAGATTTTGACTCTTTAAGCCGGGATAGGCCCTAAAATGATATTTTTTTCGGAAAATGCGGCGTTTAAGCTCGGGCCTGCTTTCCGCTTAGTTTTCAGGAACAAAAATGTTGTGCTCAATAGAACTATGCTACGAGTTGGAATGGGGAAAAATTTTGAATTGTCTGTGTGTTCGGAACAGGAAGTGCACTCTGAGGAAATCGACACCGACTCGGCCTACATCCTTTTCTACGAGCAGCAGGGAGTGGACTACTCGCAGTTCCTGCCAAAGATTGACGGCAAGAAGATGGCCGACACAAGTAGCATGGACGAGGACTTCGAGTCGGACTACAAGAAGTACTGCGTCCTCCAGTGAACGCTCCCGGTCTTCCCGCAAGCCAGTAACCCCACACACCCGCTGGCCTTTGCTTTCAGCTTTCGCGCTCTGAACAGGAGACGCCAGGCGTCCAGAGCCCTCTGAAGAAATTCTCACAAACTGCTAACGATTCCAGGCGGGCGGTGCTCGTTGTCCTTAGAGATGCGTCGCAGCACTTTTTACACACTCGATCGCATACGCGGATTATGAAAAAACGTTTGCCAAGGCAACGGTGAAGCTCCCTCCTGTGAAAGCACTAACCTGGTGCACTTTGTCGAGCCCAACGAAACAACCAACAACCCCCACCCTAAAAAAAAACAAAAAAAAAACTTTTTTTTGATTCTCGCCATAACACACATGTGACATGTACTTGCATACTAATGGGTCTCCGAATGTATGCCAGTGTAGCCAAGTTAGAAAAATGTTCTTGATTTCGTACTAGTTGAAAGAGAAAAGAAAAGTACGCATGGAGGTGATATTTTACCTGAGAAAGGAAAAATACTCCTACACTCCAGGAGAAAATAGAAGGCATTATTGGGTATAGCATCAGTTTTAAATCAAATCCAGTAAAACAGTTAAGGATCCTTGAATGGCAGCACATGTTCGTGTCATATTTGGTGCCACAGGCCGATGCAATATTTAAATCTGTGAGCTACAGTGTCACTTAATTAGACAAGCTTTTAAGAAATGGTTCTCCAAAGGTTTTACTGACGATAGCGTGTAACTAGGGTTAACATTGTATGCTACCTCATAATTTCCACCAACTGTACCCTAACAGTCATTGACATTGTTGATTAGAAAAGACGCCGTTTCTTCTGTTGTGGAAATATATGGTACATGCATTTCATGAAGGCCCACGCCAAAAAAAAAACAAAAAAAAAAGCAAATCTACCAACCCCCACTTTCCAGGAGCAGCACTGGTCCTGATAATTTAGGCGTTTTGGCCAAAACTGCATCTGATCCCACAGCTGCCAAATATCTTTGGTGATTTTTTTTTTCTTCTTTTTTTTTTGTCAATGTAACCCGTGTGTAGCTGGAACTTCAAGAGCTTGGGGTGTGTATTTGGATTTGCTTAGGAAAGGTGCCATGATTTCAAACGACATAATATTCAGTATCTGCTTGATTTATTTTTTTTTCCTTTTTTTTTCTTCTTCTTTGGATTCTGTAGATGTTTAATTTTATATTATTTATTTTATTTTTGTAAGAGATATATCTTGCTGGAGGTCTGGAGCGGGCATCTCACTGAAAGCCACATTCACAGACTTGAGTTTTTGTACTGCAATTCTCCCGCTGCTGGTTCCAGCCTCTTTGTTAGGGGGGAACTTTCACTCTCTCAGGAGCTCGATAGGAAAATTTGGGGGAGATAATGTGTGACTCTGTTGTCATAAATGATTTTACCACTGATTTTAACTTGCTATTCGACTTATAGCCGAAGATTTTCCAAACACCGATTTCCAGGTTCAAACAAAAATCGTTACGGTTTAGGTTGAGATTTTGTTTTTGTTTGTTTTTTTTGTTTTTTTTTTACAACTAATCAGTTTAAAAGCAGGAAAGCTTGAAGCCAATTTTCAGCACGTTTCATCTGAAACTACGGCCAACGGGGAAATGCTAAGTTAGGCTTTTTGTCATTTACAGTGAGAATGTTTGAGCTTTGGTGGTCATGGAGTATACTTGGTATCAAGGTTCCACCTTCAGTTTGACACTCTCATATCAATGAGGCACACAAATGTGTTGTAGATTTTCATAACATGAGAAAATCTTCGTAGCTGCCCGCCTAGTTCTCCAGACATCGGCTGCTTTTCGGCTTCCCGTGCTCCGTATTACTTTCTACAGGCTTTAATTGTAACTGGCGTCACCAGCGAAATCAAAGCTAATCGCCACTCAAGCGAAACACAAATTAAAAAGATGGTTTTAGTGCGCAGTCTCTATTCAGAATGTCATGTTTCTCTGTCTAATGGCGAGGCACTGTCATAACTGTGTATGCTGAGAGTGGTATGATATCAAACTGGTCAGGAGGATCTGTAATTTAAGGCTTTTTTTCTGTTTGTTTTTTGGTTAATATACTATAGAAAACCTTAAACAAAAGTCAAATAATTGCTGCAGAACCTTACACACCGTAATCCACATGCCTCTTTTGCAACACCCCCCTGATATTTAATGTTTTTTAAACGAACCAAAGCCCGTTTCAGCTGTCAAATCTGTAAAAGCCGCACTATGTCGTCGGACCCCTCGTTTCCCACCTCCTCTATTTTCTGTGTGCTGCCCAGAAACGCTCTGCCTATTTGAATTCGTATCCATTCGCTCGTTCTAGCTAAAGGTTTGGCTAGTCGACAGAGCTGCTGAGGTCACCTACCCATTACAGCTGCAGGAAGACGAGAAACAGAAACCCGTCTGATTCTAAGCGACGTGTACACAGCTTCCCCTGTGGGGTGGGCCGGGTTTAATCACTGTGAACACACAGCAGAACAGTAACCGTCTCGGCCCCCACCCCTGTATCTAATGAGTTTGTAAGGAAATTGAGGTATTTGGGAATGTTTCTGTCTTAAATGAGACTAAATTTCCCCTTGCAAAGAGTGTATTAGTTTAATAAATGGAATTGTGCAATTTTGTACACTTTCCCAACCCCCACCCCCCTTTTTTTTCCTTTTTTTTTTGACTCCACATTCTTCCCTTTGGGCCAACTTTAGGTTTTGTCTGTAAAACATCACTTTACCCAAAGGGAAAAATTGTCATCAGGATGTGTCTGTTGTGTTTGTTATGTTGGCTTCAGTGAGAGGTGCAATAGATGTTGACTCTTTAAGCCGGGATAGGCCCTAAAATGACATTTTTTTTCGAAAAATGTGGCGTTTAAGCCCGGGCCTGCTTTCCGCTTAGTTTTCAGGAACAAAAATGTTGTGCTCAATAGAACTATGCTACGAGTTGGAATGGGGCAAAAAGAAAATCTGGTTTAAAACACAGGGCTACGCTTCCATCCACATAAGCCCCAGCCCCCCCCATCCCGCCACCCCACCCAAACAAGTCACAGGATGAGTTCAGCGTATCAGCAGGCAGTGCAATCTACTACTGAGCTGTCTGTCGGTGTTTGTAGCCTTTTTATTTAAGTTCATTACCGTCTGATCTTAAGCGGACATATTAATTTAAAGACATTTTTGTAAAGGTGTTTGTTGAAAGAAAGTCATATTGCACTGACATGAAAACCTGTACATAAACTGTGTTTTGTAAATAAGCCAATGAAAACTATGTATTTCAACATTGAACTGTACAAAATACTGTACTTGTAGTTGTATATGGAGTGATATTGTTGATCTGTAACAAAATACCCAAGCAACAAATTAAATTCTGCAGAGCAAATGGAATCGTCGGATCCAAACGAGTCACGTGTCATTTTCACGCAGATCGCAACCGGTCAGAGTGTGTGGCTCTGGTCCGAGGGGAGCAGCTGTTTGATGAATGGCCAGAAAATTAGGGGACAGATAGCCCCCGCCATTGTGTCCACACCAGCTTCCTGGAGTCAGCTGATGTCTTTATGCCACACTGGCACCGCCTTTTATCATTTAAACCCACCGGCTGAAGCCTAGTTATCCTCATTTTAAAAAAAACTACCACAAAGTGGACAACTGCACTGGATAGTCAAAAGGGTTGGATCCAAATTCATGACTCTATATCGGACTGTGATGCCATGACTTTTAACATACATTAGTATGTCGAGTAAAAGGCTTTCAGTTATGTTTTGTGGAATTTCTTTCAAATTTTATATGCCGTTTTAAGCCAAAGGGAACCTGAAACAAAAGTAGTGCAAGTGCTCATTTTGATCTCTCTTTTCTTGGCATCAAAAGTACCAGGGGTCTAGGCTTTCTTGGCATTTACTCAACAACTCCACATTTTTGCGATTGACATTGTTTTAAAGGGTTCGCTTGAAAAAAAAGGTAAACAGAAAAAAAAAACATGTACATCAAAATTATTATTAAAAAATACATTTTTGCTTGAAATGAGGAAAAAAAAGTCTGCCAGTGAAACACTGACTTGTCAAGATTTCTTTAAAAAAGATGTGATATTTAGGACTTTTTAGATAAAGGGGAACTTGAAATTAGCCAGGGAAACTTTTTGACCTGTATTTTACTAGGATTAGTAGTGTTCTCCATCATATCTTAAGACTATAATGATCAAAGGTAGCCTTTTGTTTTTTCACCAGTTATGGCATCCCCCTTATTTCAAGTGTATTTAACTCATTTTAAGTTCTAAAATAGTGACATTTTCCCCCATTTGAGATCATCAGCAACTTGAAATAAGATTAGAAAATCATCATTGAACTATTTTTTATATAAAATGTCTTGCAGTTAGCTAGAAATAGTCATGTTATGCATTTTTATACTCATTAGGAACTGCTTTTAGGGTTTGGGGTATTGGCCTCTGGTAAAACCAAAACATGCCTCAGGACCAAACGTTTGCAAAATGTTTGTGCGGGAGTGTTTTAAGTGCAAGCTTGTAAAAGTCATCGTGGGAAGCGATTCGTATGATGTCTTTTTAACCGTAAGGAGCTGCCCTTCCTCAGTCTGAGCATAGATTGGGTCTGCACATAGCAGGAAACCACACACACGGGGTCTCAGAAGCAAACTTCTGAGACCCAAATTCAGCCACAATATGGCCTGTAAAGGGTTTTTTTGTGCCTGTCTTCAAATACTCTTAGTTACGCTTTCTTTTCCAAATATGAGACTTCAGCTACTGACTGATGAGTCTAACATCAGACTATCATGGAGCATTTGGACGCATGACACCGTTTAAAGACTAATTTGGCTCTTAATTAAGTGACTTAAACATTTGAGCACTTTCTCCTTTCACTTTTTATTTTATAATTCTTTTTCTTTCAACTTTTTAAAAGAAATGATCATCCATATTCAGCTTAATTCTTTTTTGTGTTATCATGTGCTGTTATCATTGTACAGTATCTTAATTCAACAATAATATATATGACATATATATATATTATATATTTATATATATATATTATATATTCAAAGAACAAGTTACAATACTGAAGGAAGCCATTCTGGACACACAAACTTTCACTAAAGGTGCCTGAGGTCAATCTTGCACTCTATTTTGGACTTTTTACCACATTGAGCTGTCACAAACGTTCGCACGATTATAGAAAGTCTATAAAAGATTCAAGTTAGTGCCACAGTGAAATGTGGAGAATTGCACTGTACCAGATAAACACTCTTGCCGATCAACCTATGAGGATAAATGTAAATTGCGTGTGTTGCTGTATGGAGGAGTTGCTCTGACCGTGGTTAAGTCTGAGGTAAACTGGCACATGTGCTGAGCAAGCTGTGAGTTTTCATTCTCAAAGCCCTCCGATGCTTCCGTGCACTTCCTCTGTGGTCGGCGTGCAAACAGAGCTCCTGTTCTTGAGAATGCACACGAGTTAGAGGTTTGAACACAAATAGCTCAATTGTTCTGAATGATTAACGATATGTTTTTTGGCTCCTAACTGAAAAACAAAAAAACAGCCATTGGGGATCACTGGAGATCACCTGGTCAGAATGGATTTCTTCATCAGAAAAAGGTAAGGCGCTTTGAGAATATAAAAGAGAGATCTGTCTGTTTACAATGTTTCGGGGTTCAGTTTTGAGGATGAACACTTGTCCTCGCTCAGCTCGTCCACATCTAAAAGCACCTGCTGCCGTTTTTTCTCGATTGAGGTGATGCGCCTAGACACAATCAGGACCATCTTATCCTCAAACAGACAGGCGTAATGGAAACTTGTTCAGGTAAGATGAAGATTTATGCAGAGCCGAGTTCACCGTCACATTGAGATGGAGGATTTATTGTTTTCGTTTTTTGTTTTTAGGTCTGAGCCTGAATGATTTGGGATACATCCTCATTGGGGTTCTCACCTTCACCGTCCTGTTGTCCACGGTGCTGGGGGTTGTGTTTTTGAAAAAGTAAGAAAATTCAAAAATGGTATCCAATGGAATTTTCTGTAAATGTAGAACTTCTTGCTCAGTCTGCCAGAGTCTGAGTTACAGTGAGCTAGTCGAACTGTTTTTTGAGGTAGTGTTCTACTGAGATTAATACATGATTAGTCATTATGAAATATTTTCCTTTGCTGGCAGTCCGTGCCCGAGCAGGTAAAGTAGGCCGCTTATAACCATTTAAATTGACTCTTATGTTTCAAGTTGCACACAGTGTGGAGGCAGTTTTCCCCGTATAGAAAATGTTTCTGGATTCTGACTGATGCTGTAGGTACTCCAAAATTCAACATGAATCTACGACACACCTAATTTTAAAAATGTTTACCTAATTTAGGCTTATTGTCATCTAACTTTAGCATTTTATATATTTGACTTTCAGGCTTACAACGATTGTTATCATCAGATATAATACTAAAAGTAATAATTCACATGTTGAACCATTTTTAACAACTTTGCTCAGAGATGATTAAACATTCAAGTTTTGACTTTTGGCATTGGGAAATTTCTGTGTATCCATTTGTATCATTTCTGAATTTATTCATATAAAATGGCTTGTAAATTGTGTACATGCCTAAAGCAAACTTAATTTAACGTTATGATATGCCAAAAAAAAGTAACTAAACTCAGTTAATCCTTGAACTTCAGGGCATTAAATTTTGTAAGGAATATCACTGTCTAAATATTTCCAACACCTTTTCTATTGTTCACCACATTGGAAACAATGCACATTGCCTTTTTGCAATACTTATTAGGAAAACTTAGGAATTATTATCTAGACTTTGCTAAAGCAATTGAACTTCAACTTTTGTGCTTTGCAGCAAGGCTACAGCCTCCAAACCAAAAATGATTCTGATAACAAACTGGATGCTCTAATCCTATTTTGTCTGTAATTTCAAAGAAAATTCCTATTAAACTCCCCAGTTTTTCTTGCTTTTGTGTTCCTAGAGTATATATACACTTTTTGTTGAGTTGAAATTATATATATATATATATATATATATATATATAAAGAAACATTTTTATCAAGTGAAACTGTTGTTGTTTACTGTTTTCTTTGTCCTGTTCAAAGTTGTTAAAAAAAAAATCACCGTAAGGAAATGCTGATTAAGACAGAACTGACACACACACACACACGTGTGTTTATACTTGTCAGAATTTGACTGAAATTGACAGAAATTGACAGAATTTTACAGTGCTTCTAAACCTCGCACCAGGGTTACTTTTTTTAATAAACAGGACTTTACACTGCAGATATCGTTGCATGGCTCGGACCATTCGAGAGCTCCAGAGAAGTAAGTTCATTCTGCCTCAGCTGGACGTTCCCAGCCCGACGAGCCCGGTGGCCCCTGCGGCGAAAGAAGAAGAAGAAGAGGAGGTGGCCCCCGCTCCACAGAGTCTTCTGCAGCGCGGCGGTACAGCGAGGTCCCCCTCCAAGAAGCTGTGGAAAGGCGTGCAGCAGGTACTGCGCACACACTGACATCCTCTGGCTGGGAAAAGATTCACCTGTTTAACCCAGTTTTTAAAAGCAGAGTTGGCTAAAAAAAGGGAAAAAAAGTGCATTTTCTTATTGGAACGCTACTAAATAAAAGCAGTTTTTTTTTTGCTGAAGGTAAAGTGATTTCAGATTTGAAAAAGTCTCAAAGGAAAACAACTGTGTTTCCACTTTCTTCATGAATTAGATCATTACATGCACGCTTATGTTATGTGTTTCTTTCCGAGGCTTCTTGTCTTAACAAGTCCGACCTGAACCTGCTCCAGCTGATCAAAGCAGGGAAGGAGGGAGTCTTCTACCAGGCCCGGATGAACAGAGGCACGTGCAAAGGCCACAGCATGTTCACATGCAAAATCAGCAAAGAAGGTACGGAGCATTCATCTTTAGACCTACAGGTATTTCTGTCAGGGTAGAGCTTAAAGTTACATCACACGCAAAATTACAAGAAAAAAAAACATTAAAAGCAACATCTTGAATGATTTTTGACCGTATTGATGAGAAATAGATTACTCAAAAAGTTAGCAGGAAGATGTGTGGGATGCTACCTTTGACTCTTCCTGACACCTATCAAAGCTATGATTTATGAGTCTCATATACTATATATATATATATATATATATACCGGTATATATATATATATATATATACACATATATACAAAATATTTTCTTTAAGTGGTATACAGTGATTGAAGTGTATATTCAAATGGATTGAGATGGAGGTTTTTATCCAATGTTGTGTTTTTATAACACAAAAATGTATTTTGTGGCAGAGAAATTGTATAGTTGAAATGAATCAATGACTTCCCAAAATTACTTTAAATGCTAAACATTTTTAAGACCAACTTGTAATACATATATGCCTTTGCATATATAAATGTATCTTAGCATGTGTCCTTCTTAGACATTTTCCCACAGTGCTTATAGTTACACGATAGAAGAAAGAGGCAAGTTTTTTGTTTGTTGTTGAAAAGTGGCTTTATTTGTTTGACTGCTTTGATTTTTATTGTGTCTTTCACACAAGGGGTGCGTCTCAAACATGTAGAAATGGAGGTTTCCATCATGAGGAAACTGATGCACCACAAAAATGTTCTTCAGTTACTGGACTGGAACACAACTGCAGGTGGGAGACTCGTGTTTAGACATTACTTTTCATCTAAGATAACAAAAAAAAATTAAAATAAAAAGAATACAGAGAGAAAAGCTAGAAAATATTTTCTTTTGCAGAACTTCTGGTTTAAGGATAAAACTTGTTGGTTTTTGTCTTTTAAAAATTTTTTTTGTAGAAGACAAGACAAGAATCGTTAGTCTAGCTCTCTGTGGGACGTCAGACGTTTTATTCCTTAGTTTTTTTTCTCTCTCTAAAACTTTCACCGTGCAGAGCCGTACATTCTGATCATGGAGTACGTGAGCTTTGGCACGCTGAGGACGTTCCTCCAGACTAACAGAGTTCACCTGTGCGGAGACCCGGAGTTGCAAAGTCTTCTTACCATCGCCTCCTACCACATCGCTCTGGCCATGCAGCACCTACGCTCCAAAATGGTATCCACAATGTTTTTATCTATTGCACTTCAAAAACATACATTGTAAATGAATGGATTGGTCAAATTTGAGGTGAATACGTTGTTTGACTGTAAATAATTTAAATCAAATGAAAAAAAATACTTGATTTATCTCAAAGGAAACTGATTGGAAACTTTTTGGGTGCACTTTTTGGATCAAATTTGGGATTTATTGGGTATCAATGCTCTCTGTATATTTTTTTAACATAGTTTGTACGACTGATACTACTTTTTTTTAACAGTTTTCAACAAACTTAAATGTAGAAGACAATTACCATCAGCCATCTTTCACTTAATATACCATCTACCAACACTTAATGTCTAGAAATTATGCTGTACCATTTGGACTTTAATGTAGATGGGGAAAAATCCTTTCAATATTAGACTATCTAGGGTCTAGGCCGGGCATTAGGGTTTTTTCATAAGACCACCCCAGACAACTCTAATGCTGACCGGTGTCGCCGTGGGCATCTGTGCAGATCACACACTGCGATTTGGCTCTCAGGAACGTCATGGTGAACAGGTTTCCCTGGGAGGTGAAAGTAGCGGAGTTTGGCCTGGCTCAAGACCTGACCCGCATGGCCAGCCGCCGCAGCAGTCGCTGGAAACATCCCCGGGTGAGATCGCGTTAAAACACGAACACAATTAAACATTGTTGTTGTTTGAACAGCAGCCGTTTTCATGAGCCAGAATCGAATACCAGCCACGCTCTGTAGCACAAGTTCGCAAACATGGGCCCTCTGCTTAAGCATCGAACTAGGTCGATTCTTGTCAGGATCCACCCAAATTCCCAAATATGACACAAGCTGACAGTTTAAATTGCACCGTGAGATGTAAATGTAAATGTACATGCACTTATATACGCTTTTCTAGTCAAACTGACTACTCAAAGCACTTTACACTACGTGTCATTCACCATTCACACACACATTCACACTCTGGTTGCACCAGTGGGCAACTTAAGGTTTAGAGCCTTGCCCACAGAACTCTTCGACATGTGGTCAGGAGGAACATGGAGTTGAACAACTGACCCTCCAATTAGTGGGCAACTGCTCTTTCCTCCTGAGCAGATAACTTAGCCTCTATTTATGCAAATGGTCTTAGTTCTAAATTTTAACTTGTTAATGTCCTCGGATGGACATCGTACACCAATGACAAAGGACCACGCTTTGTTTGGACTTTTGGTCTCCATGGGTGTAGTTGTGTGTCGGTTTTGGGTCAGTTTGGTTTGTTTTAATGTCAAATGACACCATCATTCCCTGCCAGATCATTTCTGTGCCATGTGGAAATTCGCTGTCTGCTCGTTCGGCCAGATTCTATGTTTGAAACTGATGTTTCGAATGGAACGTTTTTCACTCAAGCCACTGTGCATGTGGGTGTGCATATATGTATGTGGGGGTGGGGGGTTAGCAACATCCTTTTCGACAGGAAACAACGTTTTATAGAGAGATGTGGTCTCAATTTGGAGGAAACCAGCAGAAGGAGTCCTAACAGTGTCACTGATGTCAACCATGACATTCACCTAAATGCTTTCAGTGTTTGCTTTTTTTCAAAAAGTTCGATTTTTTTGTTAATCTGCTGTCTCTTTTTTATATATTTCACTTAGTTTTTCTCTTATTCAGGGTGTAAAATCACGTTTTCCCTTCTATGTGTCTTGTACAGCAGCGTGTGCCTCTGCGCTGGTACCCCCCGGAGTACTTCAAGAACAATTATTACGGCTTCAAGGGGGACGTTTGGGCCTTTGGTATCGTGCTGTGGGAGATGCAGACATTTGGTAAGCCGGTGGATCAGGGATTAAACTTGTACTGTACATCATCTGCTGTAGGTTTCCTCTCTGACTCTTGTAAGGTGGCAATGATTTTTTTTTTTTGTTTTTGTTTTGATTTTGCCCATTTCCCTTCTTCTTTTGGTCATTTGTTGAGGTGAGATACCACGGTTAACCCTGATACTTTTTAAAAGCCACAGGCTTTGCTGAACAGTTGAATGGTGATGGACTGCTGATTCAATTTGACGAGAATAAAATCAAGCAAAAAATGTCTAAAATCTGATTGATTTTTCAATATTGGAGTCAATATTGGAACTGTGGTGTGACAGTTAACCTTAACGCATTCATTTTTAATAAATCCTTGTCTAATTTGTAGCTGACTATTTAAATGTACAAATAAAACATAGAAAATGTTTGACAATATCACTGATTATCACTAATTCATTACATAAACTCTGTTATTTATCTTATCTTTCCTTAAGTCATAAGCACATTAAAATGTGGTGTTCGAGGACATTTCACAAAAGAGAGTTTGTTGCTGTTAAAGAGATTTTTTAATGGAAAATTTAGTTTGAAAATTAGCTAAAGTTACAAAGAATATTCGATTTACAGGTACTCTACCATATCCAAACCTGGAGACATCAGAGGAAGTGGTGTACCACATCTGCATGGGCCATAAGAACACGAACCCAGAAAGCTGCAGGCCAGAGATGTAAGAGACCCCTCACTGGCCGGATTAAAATAGGAAACGTACTTTATCTCCGATCCCAAAACCTAACCTGCATTCATCAACACCGTCTCATTCTCATTGTTGTCTTTTCTTGGTTGTGTAACGTTATCTGCGGACAGCTTTGTCCTTAACTTTACTCGTCATTACACATGCTTTTGTAGAAATTGCATCATTATTTCTGAATCACTTTCCTTCCTGAACCTCACAGACTTCACATCATGAGGGACTGCTGGCAGGAGCCCCACTCGTTGCGGCCTGCCTTCACAGACATTGTCGGCATGCTGGAGAACATCATTGAAAACGATGCAGTAAGACCCTTTAAAAAACATTTACCTATGGAATGACTAGTCTTTTCAGAAAGTTTTCCCTATTCCTTAAGCATTTTTCCTTTTGTATCGCCGCAACAGTTTCATATGAGGCCTGGAGTCTCTATATGAATGTTAATAGTCAGTTTTGGGCAGTGTTTTTGCTATGGTAAAAATAACATTGCACATAAACAGTCTATGGCATGAGGAGTGTTAAGGGTGGTAATCCCCCACATTTTCACTTTAACTTCCTGAAAGCCTGCATCCTCAAATGAGGACATTGCATTTTTGCCTCTTTACCATGATACTTCTTTTTTTCTTTGGACTTTGACCTCTTGGCCTCATAGCAGACGTTATCAGACACTATGGTTTGAAATCAAAAGTAAAATGGTTTTAGCCATTTTCAACCAATCATGATCTTATTGTGCAATTCAAATTTTGTAAATAAGTAATTTGGACCATCAGAATAAAGTTGCAATAACATTTGAATAAATATATAAACACACCTTTTAAATACAAAGATAAACCCACTGAGCCTATGAGGAAAAACCACCAGTACCATGACAAAGTCTAGTTATTAAACTTACATTAAACCTACACTACTAATCCCAAAATTCTTGAAAAAAGCAAAAATGTACACCAAATAAAAGCTCAGGAGGTAATAGTGTGTGTGCATTATTTTTAACTTAAAACTGTTCATCATAAACACAGTGTTGCCTTTGCCTTGGCAGAATAATTCCATTAACAACATTCAAGTAGTTTAGAAACTGGTTATTTTTCTCATAAAATCTTTTTAGATATTTTGGAACAACTAAATAAAAAGAATAGCATGATCTGAATAATGAATAATGTGTTTAACCTTTATTTTTTTTAAGGATTACGTGGATGTGGACAGTTCGCAGGCTTTGGTGAAACATGAAGCTGAATATCATGATGCTAAGAGTCCACGAGCCGTCAGCGCCAACACAGAAGAGGAAACCCTAGTTTAAAGCCTTATTTTAAACTGTTCTTTTTGGCACGCGTTTCTCTATTTTTCTGATATTTATCTGTTTGGGGATTTTACACTCAAACATCCTACTGCTAAAAAATGTAAATGTGAGTAGACAACTGAAAATACTGGAAATGGATACAGTTATATAGCTCTTACTTCCACTTTAGCATGTTTAGAAGTACTTATATTATTTCTGTCTTTATGTTTTGGATGAATATTTTTTCTAAAGCCAAATAAATAGCAGGTTTTCTTTCACATTTTCTTTTTAAAATGTACTTCAATGTCATGCATTATTGAGAATATTTCCCGCAGAAAGTAAAAGGAAAACTGTTAATATATCACTATTGGATCAGCAAATGGTTTACAGTAAGAGACAACACGGCACTCCCATTAACGAGGGGCACCTGAAGCGGCTCCAGTAACATTCGCTTCTAGGAGTGAGTGGTGCGTTCAGGAACGCCCTCCGCTGCCTTTTGCAAACCAATGGGATCGAGCGTGGGAACACGCGTTTTTACGACACCGCGCTTTCGCGAACTTGGACCCCGTTTCTCGTCACACGGACCAAAAGAGTCTCAAAAAATGTCGATCCGAGTTTTAGAACTAATTTTTTTCTTTTACTTTGCCTCACACATCCCAATCACGTTATTTATTGACCTTCAGGCCTTGCTTCCTGGACATGTTTATCCCCAACCGGTAAGAGCTTTTATTGTGGGAGGATTGCGGTTTGTTCCGTTTAGGGAAGAAACTTAACTCTCACAATTATCTTGCGATAAAACCTCTCACGCGAGTTTTTCTCCATCAGCTGAGAGATCTTCTGAGGTGGTATGCAGATGAGTTCAAAGACCCGATGATGCTGGATCCCCCACATTGGTTCAAGTCTTTTATCTTCTGCGAGGCTTTGCTTCAAACTCCTTTTTTCCCCGTTGCGGCTTATGCCTTTTTGAAAGGTCAGTAAACTCACAACTTGTGATTGACGAAAGTTAGTTATTGTCTTTGTTCCTGCACACGGAACGTTTTGCTCCTCTTTTCTCCTATTTGTTGGTAAGCTTTATTTTGCAAAACGGAACAGAAACATACATGCATGCATGAAATTCCGGCATTTGGAATTTTTGGGATATTATATTAATACATCCATAGTTTAAAGCATTAATGTCATATCATATTTTCTTCCGCCCACTTTTAGCTGTGTTGATATTTAGATATTATCTAAATATCTGCTGTTATTGATCATAAAGGTGAATTAAATTAATATTTTCTGATGTTGTATTTAATGGTAACAGGATTTAATTCAAAAGCTAAAATCAGTGGTGGACACTATCTTTTGGGAGTTTCTACTTAGACTGTTTTATTAGTAACATCCTACCGTTTTTCTCTCATCCTCCAGGTGGCTGCAGGTGGATTCGAACTCCTGCCATTGTGTATTCCACACACGTCGCCACCACCCTGGTCCCGATCCTGTCCCACGTCCTTTTCCATCAGTTCCCGGCAAAACCTCACGCCGGTCCCCAAACCCCAGGGGAGCGCTGGCTGCTGGTGTCCATATACGCCCCGTACCTTCTGGTGCCCGTGCTGCTGCTCCTCACCATGCTGACCTCCTCCACATACAGCTCCGGCCACAAAAGTGCAAGCACGCCAGCTAAATCCAAGAAGAAGAACTGAAACAATGACATAAAATACACGTTTCACTATTTTGGGTTCTTGTGAGAAGACCAAAACTGGGAAAAGTTTTGGTATTGTTAGATACACCCTGAATCAGCACTTTAATTACTGTTCTTTTAAATGAAATCTTTGTGGTGAATACTCTTTGTGTTTTTATAAACATTCTACAATCATGTATATTAATATCAACATCTTTATGTTCAAATTCTTGGTTGTTTTCATGAAATGCAATAAAACCTTCAAATAAGAAGACATTTTTGGAGAACTTTCTATCAGGTCATCAGGACGTCCAACTATTGTTACAAGAAAGGAGAGAGAAAAGGAGCCACACAGCTCTTTAAAACCTGTAGCAGAGAGGAAAGAAAAGGGATTCATTAAATCGGTTTATGAGATGTGAGAAGAAATTCTGTTTTACTGAGAAAAACTGAGGTGTCACTCCCAAAACACACACTCAATACTGTGTAAAGACACAGGATTTGTTCTGATCTTTAAGAATTTTGTTTGGTTGCTGGCTAAAAATGGAAACACGAACACACAGCATATCCTGCTATCACCTTTTGTGGTTGACCAATAAATGTTTTGGCTCAAGGTCTAATGTCAAACCATAAACAACACTGTAAAAGTTCGATCAAAACACCTCAGCACTGGATAACAATAAAGGGGCATGAACTTCAATTATTACAAAAAAAACTTAATTCATTGTTGCTTTGTGAAAGGTATATTTGATTATCTGTTGTTTCTTTAATCATATGCAAGCAACGTTAAATTATGATTTCATTTTTACCAACGGTTTCATGTAAACTGGGTAAAGAGCTAAATACAGTCTATGTATATTTCTTCATTCATTTATCTATTTGTTCACCACATATTGATTTATTCAGATCGTTTCTGATAGGCTTGAAAAAAAAATGATTTAAGAATATTTGGCACCATTTTCACACATTGAGAGAGAGCTTCCAACAGGGAATGCCTCAGATGGCAGAGGAGTGTGCAGTCATATTCACTGCCACCAGAGGGTGGAAACGTTGATCATTGGATGTTCATAAAACGTTATTTTTCTGGTTAACATGAGGCACATTAATTATAGGATAGATTTCCTTCTTTGAAAAAAGTCAGGTCTCTTTATTTTCACAAGTGATATTTGGTTGTCTCCCTGTAGGCTCTGCCTTTTGCTGTTTGTCAGCCTCTTATAACCACGTGGTTTCCAGAAGTACGTCAAACGTACCTTTAAAAAAAACATTGAAAGTTTATAGCTTGTGACGGTGAAATGGATGCCCGATATTTATTTCACGCAATTTAAATTGCTCTCGTAATATTTGAATCAAGAGACTAAAAAGACATTTGGACTATCTTTGAAGGCAGTGTTGAAAATAGTATGGGAAGTCACTAGAAGTGTGTCACTGCAAGAGCTAAATGTTGTTCATATTCCTTCGGAGTTATGATAATAAAGTCCAAGTAATCTCGGAAGGAGTTTGGCGAACTATATTTTTCAGCGGAAGGCGGAGTCTGCCGTCCTCGGCGGAAGCGCGGCGTATAAAACCGGAACATGGTACTAGTTTCGGGTATTGTTTAAGTCAACAGCAGCCTGGCTACTTCAACGGTTGTGCCGAAGACCAGTACAGTGATTGCAGCCTGTACAGTCCACATTATCAGGATAAAGTTGAGTCGTTGAATTTCGTGGCAAACGTAACCCAAATACGCCAGTTACTCTTAAAAGCTTAGCCTAGACCGGACGACGAAGGAAACGAGAGTTCGTCGAAGTGTTTCCCCGGATGACATTTGTGCTCAATTTGGGAAACGTCGGTGCTCTTCGAGAGGGGAGGGATGCTTTATGGACTAAAACCCAATTGTCGAAGATGACAGTTGATATGGACTAACGTCTTAAGATGAGCACCGGTCCAGTACTGACGTTTCTGTGTCGCATCCTTGTGATGTTCGGGCTAACGGATGGTGGATTCGCTCGCTAACATTGGCTCGATTTTTATGCCACCCGCGCCGCATTAGATAGATGATAGCTAAATTATTCAAACGAGACATAGCCTCGTGTTACATAATTGTTAGCGTGTTTGTTTAGAGCTGCTATGGGCAGCAGCTATGACGCTAGGTGTAGCCGCGGTGTTATGTCACTGTCAGGCTAACGGAGAGGTCGGTGTCTGCGGCCGTTCTCGTCTCTGCACGCTCGCGTCCATCTCGCTTGGCATCATGTAGACGGTGCGTCGGAATAGATTAGTTGACCGGGTGGGATACAGTTCCTTTAGCGAGCCTCCTCGGAAGTGTAAGGCTGGATTGCAGCGATTCAACTGGGTCAAAGTCAAGACACCTGGCTCCGACACACTTTAAGCTCAGGATTGTTGCTCGCCACGCTCAAAGCCGTCCGATCTGGGCGATATTCCAGAAGTCCAAGCCTATTTCGAAGACATGTGAATGCACCATGCCCTGGATACATCTCTTATTTATGCTCAAAGCCACAACAGAGCGACCTGCCATGATATAGTTGGGCTTTGAGGGAGCAGCAAGCATCAGGAGTTGCAGTTTATTTTGCTCCTGGATTTTTTTAGTTTTTTTCCAAAGAGAAGATCAACATCCAAGGCCGACCCATCACAATGGAAACTGTGGGAGATTTTGAGTACAGCAGAAAAGACCTGGTGGGACACGGGGCTTTTGCAGTGGTGTTTAAAGGAAGACACAGAAAGGTAAATAGATGACTTGTTTATAAAGTATTGCCCCCACCCCCCCAGCCAGTCATCCTTCTCCTTCTCCTGTTTAAAGAAAAGAGGACGAGTGGCAGCTTAACCTGAAAATCTGGGTCAGCCAGTGGATAGTGCAGATCTGCAGCATCATATGTGGGTTGTACCCTCTTCAGCGTTCCCTTTATTTATTTATTCCTTTGCCACTAACCATATGCATTCAGACTGATATGGTGCATTTTAGCTGCTCTTGCAGGAGATTTTACTGTCAGTAAACCAGGCTGATGTTAGTTCCAGACCATGTATTTACGTGGCTCCGTTCATTCATGAAAAGGATGAGTCAGGCTACAGTGAATGGCACGCTGACGTAGGGAGGGAGGATCGGATGCAGTGTTTTTCCCACCGTCTATTTAAGAGCACCAGAAATCCGGATGCAAAATCGTCCGAGAATAATTCGAACCCAACACAGACACCCAGAGAATTCCTAGATATAAGTTGTCCAAGAGGTGGTTTCGCATGACGGAGGGATGCTGGGGATGGAGTGTGCAGGTGTGACAAAGATACAGGAGATGACATCATGTCAGGCTCCTCAGTGAAACACCCAAACTGTTTTTCACTTTAAAAGGATCAGTGACATGTTCAACGCCCGGACACTGATATGAGTTTAGAGGCTGCCACAGACCTGTTAATCACCTGTGAGCTGCTTCTATGTGTGCACATCTGTTCAGTGCTCACACGTTACATCAAAACAGAGCTAGCATGTGATCCGTTTATTTACCGTTTCGGTCTTCGCGTGCCACACAGCCTATTTATAGGAATGTTTCCGCCTGGCTGGAACAGAAAAGACGTCCGCTCGCACTTGACAGACCCAACAGATGTCATTATCGCCACGGAGATGATGAATGCCACATACGGGCTGTATCATCTTGCTGCGTGACTTTCAACAACTAGAGCCAAGTGTCATTGCAGACGAGAGATGAATGTCATTTTAAGTTCTGCTGTTTTGGAGACATAAATGTCGTCCGTGTTAATTCTAAACTAATAATAACACAAAATACATGCAAATATTTCGGCTGAAAAGACACAAAAAAACTCTTTGAGGGTTCAGTTGTGCATTGTGGTCAAAAAGACCACTAATCAGATATTGTTGTTATTATTTTTATCTATATTTGTAGCTGTGTCATTTATAGAACCATAATTTCAAGTGACAACGTTGAAGTTATTCATTTTAATGAACACAAAATTATATTATGTCTGTTGTTCCTTCTCGGGTCGGACTGTCTCCCAGTCTCATCCTTCTTCTGCTGCAGTCTTATTGATGCTAATCGCTTCGTTGCTCGCGCTCTAATCGGCCGTGATTCATAAATGAGATCACGCTTTGTTCTGGAAGAGGAGCGTGCTTCCCTTTTTGTAGGATGAGCGAAGCACAAGTGCTTACTTTGCATTGTTTAAGTCTGAATTATGAGCCACACTAGTGAGCCATTTTGTTTGATGGAAAGTCCTCTTCCCCCAGCCACATTGCGTACACCCACCCCTTCCTCAGCCTCCTGCGATACATAGAGGGCCTTTTAGTTCCCCCCCCCACTCCTTTTTTGTCCTGGTGTCGGCAGTCCAGTCACACTTGGTTGGGCTGGCTGTCTGTGAGCAGGATATGGATGCAGCTCAGTTATCCGTGTATCGCTCAACAATACACACGCTAACACGGGTTCATTGCGTTCTCTTTGTCTCACTCTTGATCTGGATTCTTTTCCTGGCTTAATGTGGACCTTAGCCACGGAACACACACCCCCTATTAACCCAATTCGTTTGGAAAGGAAAGTCTTTCTAGTCATAGAAATCCTTCCCCCAGCTTCCTGTCCATCTGGGCCTGTTGTGTGTTGTCCAAAGCCTTGTGTGTGTGTGTGTTCATTTCAAAGCCTTAGAGGTCTTGGGCGATATCAGTGATGCTGACTGTGCACCTTAGGCTGACGGACCCGGGATGACTTGAATCTTTGGGAAATGAAAGCACAAAAAAATGCATGAGTGGCTGTAATTTACTGGAAAGTCCCAATTAAATTAACTTACTCTTGTCTTTCTTGTCCCGTGTGCTGTGAAGAAAACGGACTGGGAAGTGGCCATTAAGAGCATCAATAAGAAGAACCTGTCCAAGTCCCAGATTCTTCTTGGCAAGGAAATCAAAATCCTAAAGGTGAGCCTTAGTGTTTCTTATCTTTTCTGTGTCCTCCAAGACAGATCTGACTTAGAACCTGTTCATTTCTTATCCAATAAAAGGCCTTTTTACTTTGCTTCAGCCTCAAAATGAACAGTAAACTTTCCTAAAGGTTCAACTTTCTTCTTTTACTGCAAGCTGTTCACTTTAACTGTGGGTTTTGAGTCAAATTGGGATTGTTAATGTTATGAAAATGCTGATGCTTGAAAAGTAAAACCATACTGGGATTGAGATAATGAAATGCTAATGATGGCAGTTCCTTTTGCTGCTGTAGCCTAATTGATGTGGTCTGCTAATGCGTTTTGTTTTTCTGCTGATTTTACACAGGAACTGCAGCATGAAAATATTGTGGCGCTCTACGACGTTCAGGTATGTCTTTTTTTAAGATATCCTACTGCATGCTAAACCGAGATTCTCATGATGGTAGACAACTAACAATCATTAGTTATATATCTGTGTTAAAACTAAGCAGGAAAAAGAAACAGTTCTCTTGTCAGATTAACATCAGTTAATTGTTTATTTCAAAACTATTTGAACTACGTATGATTGTGCTTTAAAGATTTGCATTTATAGTTGTTGTGTTCACTTCTGATGGTTGCTTTAAAACCTAGTAAAACCAACAATGCATAACTGACAATGCATCATTTTACTCAGACTGCATTACAGCAACAGCTGGCTCCTTTAACGCATGAATTAGACCATAAAGAAAGCTTTGCTTCACCAAAACCCCCTAAATTGAAGTTAAATAGAGTGTGCAGATTTGAAAAAGACTTCTTCCCCCAAGTAACTTAAACAAACAACAGTGGAGAACTTTGAGCTCTTTTCTGTGGATTAAAGTTGATGGCTGTCTGTCTGGTCAAGGGTGTTACAAAGTGGCAGAATTGTTTGTAATATTTCCAAGGTTACTGATAAAACTGATGGTTGTGTAGGTGTATTTACCATCTGAGACTTGAGTCTGCCAGAAAATGGTCAGTTTTCCTTGTATTCCAGCCAAGGTGCTGGGATGCTGACAGAATAATGACAGATCATTACTTGTGTATCTTGACCTGGGTTTTAAGGTGCTACATGACCTATTGGAATACATTTTACTGCCATCTGATATAACTGTTGCATTTTTTTCTTATAAAACAGTTTTTTTGTTAGTTTTTTACAGTGACGTTTAGCAATCTCAGATTCCATCCAGTTGAAACTATTAACAGTTAGGGAGGTAGAGGTTAGTGATGCTGCATAAACACTGTGTACCGCTCATTTGCAGTCACGTGACGCATTAACATGCATTTGTGGTCGAACACAGGTCTGCGACTCCTCTGTTCACTGTGGCTGTAAGGAGCTGGATGTGAAACTTCAGTTTGTTTGCGTTTATGGGAATAGATTACAACAACCTAACACAACATGTTTGATACTTCTGTTTTTGTGGGCCTAAGGAAAGAAAGTGTATTTTGCTTGGTCTGAAGCCACACCGCATGTTATGGGTGGATTTTGAAAATATGCTTTTAAAATTACATTGCTACGGGCAGAATATTAGACCGTCTTCATCTCTGGTCTTGATGTGTTCCCATTGTACGGTATCGTTGACTTCCTGTGTACAGATGAGTTGCTGGTTACTGACTGATGGTGGGTGGTATGAGGGATTTTAACTGCATTTAGCTTGCATTGAGCCCAGATCGCTCAATTACAGCAAAACCCCTTTCTCGTTTTGGTCAGCATGGATGTTTCATTTCCACCCATGTCCATGTCCTCACCCCTCCAGTCTCCTCAGTCACGCTGGTGCAGCCATTTAGTCCAGAGACAAATGGCCGAAGAGTCCAGTCAGCTGAAACGTTTTATGCCAGTATTTGCCATTTCTTGACTGAAAGCATTTTAAAATGGAGGAAAGGAGATATTCTCAGCCTTAATAACATGGACATTTGTTATTTTTACAGCACCTAAATGGAATAATGGAACCCTATATGTTATGTAAAACATAAAAGCTATATGTTATTATAGTATAATGTATTATCTATCTGAAACCAATCATTTGATAACTGTTTGACATTATGGGACATTTTCCATTTGCTGTGATATTTCTCCTCTCACTCCGGAGCTATCAAAGTCAAAGTCTGTTTAGTTGTCAATTTATTTACGTGTACCGGACATACAAAAGAATCCAAATTACGTTCCTCATCATCCCATGGTGATTACAAGACATCGAGACCAAGTAACAATACTGTCAAAGCAGACCTATCCTAACGCTAGCTCTAATACTGCAGTGACATTTGGTAGGTAAGGTGCATAGTGGTATATTAACTAAACTAAAACTAGATTTAACTTGGGCTACCTCACAAAATAAATAAGCTCCATTAATTTACAGACTAAGAAGCTGGCTAAACTACTCAACATAGACACTAAGTACACAAACAGACATCGTATTTCCACAGTGTGGGTAATGTCAGAGGTAGTTGCAATAGTGCATGACATTTAGTTAAGTTTAGTCTGTCTAATTTAGGTTAGGATTGAAAGCGAGAGCTAAACTGCATTGAACTAGAAAAAAAATCCAGGATTTATAATTTTTTGTAACTTTACTGTTAATGCCCACTCTTTATGACCTTGACAAAAGTTTGGTGGCTCTCTTCAAGCTCTTTGTTTTAAACCTTTGCAAAAACATAAATAAATATATGCACACAAAGAGGGAAATGCATTCAGTGGGGAAAATAACACAAAAAATAAATGTTGAAATCAATGATGGACTCTTTGTTTGCCCTTTTTCCCATTTTCAGTCCCTCCAAGTTTGGTCAGCGAGTTCAGCTGTTCTTAGTTTCATATCTTGATTTTTTTGTTTCTCCTTTTTTCAAAGATTTATATTATTGGTCTTAAACCCACTAAACCTGTCAGGTCTCCACCTTTTCTTGCATAGCAGCTAATTTTTATTTGACTACTCCCTTGTTCTTTTGGTCAGTTTGTTCGTTTGGATGTTTTTGAAATCATGTGAAAGTCTCTTTTTTTTCTTGTATTGCGATATGTCCTCTTCATTTTCCATCTGCTGTTGGCTTTTTTTCCTGCTTCTTCAGCTGTAGTTGCTTAACCCATTTGGTAAGAATAGATTTATCAAGCAGAGCAGGAAATGAAACGTGAGATTCTCATACATCGGACTGATCACACCCAGCTTTCCCTTTTGAAAGCACGGACCACCGATCTCTGCCCATTGCTTTCATTCTTAGATATAAACCCAGATTTGGGACATTTCTTCTGTAGAGACAGTTAAATGCTGTTGCAAGCAATGTACGCATACAAAGTCAAGGTAAGGTAAAGGGTTAAAAGGAGAGTGGATAAATCTGCTGAAGAACAGCTGAAGATTCAAAAGTCTAAAGAAGCCAGAGTCTGCAGTTTTTTTTTGCCTCTGAGCACAGGGAAATGTTTGTTTGTTAAAGGTGTGATAATGTGACCCCAAAAGAACAGTCCGGGATTATTGATTTTTATGTAAGCTTACTGACAGTTTACGGCTGTTAGGAAACAGCATACCTATGAGTCAATTGGAGTCTTTTCTGGTGTTTTATAGCCATCTTAATGCAGGGGTTTAAGCAACATAACATAAAAGAAGCATCATTTGTTCATCTCTTTCTTTTTGATTTATACGTTGATCAGGCATGATGAAGTCATTAAACATTTTATTGGAATTTTATGTCTCTATCTGAGATGATTGACCTGGTTTTTGATGCAAAGATTCATCTTCTCTGGTTACATAAACAGATCAAACTGTACTGAAATAAACTGAATGATACTTTACTGTAAAGTTGATAATTCAGCATGCCTAATTGTTAAAACTATGAAATGATCAGCTTGAAAGACATATGTGTATAGCAGAGGAATGCATTTTTCCCAAAGACTGGTTATTGCCATATGTGTTTTCAGTCATGAATTTTGGTCAACTAAAAACCAGAAAGAACTTAGTAGACGTCTAGAAGGGGGTTAGCATCAAATGAAACAACACTGAAATATAAAGTATCGTTATAGTAATAGTTAGTGTATAGTTATAGACCCTACAGCCATTAGGTAATCAAAGTATTTTCAGTAGAGGATCCACAGTTGGATTCTTTCATGACTGGAGGGCCGAACTACAAAGCATGATTTGGTTTTAGTGACATTACAACGGGTCCCGATCCAGAATTTGTACAGTGGTTGACATTTTATTGGCTGACCTTTGTATTTAACTGTATGGTACGTGCCTAATCTGTCCTGGAAAACAGATCAGCATACATAACAGCAGTGGCTAATGGCCATCTGATGATCTAAGTGGAAAAGGACCACGGTGTAATCTGTTACTAATGTTTAACACAGCCATAGTTGCAAATGAAAAGGTTTAAAAATAAAAAGTGTCCTCGAATAGTCACAAATAACACACCGTTACGGGCTCCGTTGTGTATTTAAATTCTGTTTATTTCTGTACAGTTTGATCGGTTTATGTAACCAGCACTGGTCCGTTCCAGGTGTGGGGAATAATAATCTTGTACTACTTGGTCACGTATTGAACAAAAAATAATCCCTGAATCTCACACTCGCTTTACACACTGTGGCTTTATGTACCAGCACCATGCAGACTAGACGCCATTGTTCTGGTGTCACACTGAATAAACACAGCGTAGCATTAGCAAATGTCCTTTTGTATGATTGTTTGGAACTCACAATGGAGGTGTTCTTTCACCCAACATCTAAACTGTGATGCATTAACATTTCACCACTCTGCTGCGCCAATGCTTGTGCGAGTTGTGGAAGGCAGAGTTTGGAATGACGCCTGGCAAAATATAGGGTCTCTGGCTTCCTCCCAGAGTCCAAAAATATTCACCTTAGGTTAATTGGAGACTAATTTGTGCTTAGCTGTAGTAGTTCTACGTTGTTCTGGGATGGTCCAGGACCTACACTGCCTTTCATCCAATGGCAATCGGGATAGGCTCCAGTACCCCCATGACCCTAATTGGAAAAAGTGGTGTGTATATATATATATATATATATATATATATATATATATATATAAAAAAAGATGGATTAATGGTTAAATGTGAAGTTTCATGTTGTAATCACTTACATTTTTTCATGTTTTTGTGTTTTAGTCTGACTTATGATAACCACCTTAAGCTAACAACTCAGAATGCCATGAGACTTTTAGAGGCAAAACATAGATCCTAACGCAGATGGAGCTGTGAGAACGGATAACTTTACAGGAGCCTTTGCCTTGGTGTTTTTTCTCTCAGATCAACCGAAATGATTTTTGATAAAATCCCTACCGTTTACTCAGTTGAACCTCGTATGGCTAGTAAACGTCCAAACTACTCTGGACAGCCTTGTGACATTTTCAATGGTCTAAGAGCTGGTGTGGAGACGTAACTGGCTTTGTCTTAGAAGTAATACATTTATTTTTGTTCTGTAATGTTTATCTATATTCCTAGACGTGGTTAAAATCAAAGTTTAAGTCACTTTTAGTGTATAGGCTCATTTGGACCAGGGGATAGATGTTTGTTTGTGGTGGTGTTGTGGCTTGTTAGCCAATGTCCTAAAAGTACACAAAGCCTGGAAGAACCAAGCCCCCCCCCAAAAAAAAAATTAAAATAACAAACAGGTGTCTGTATGTCTCAATCAGCCAAGGTGATCAATCTGTGAGGTGAACAGGAAAATAGGAGCACTGTGTCCATTCAGTTGGAATTCTTCGAGCCCTGCGGCTTTTCCTGAAAAACACGTGCCTGTGTACATTCCTTTGCAGGTCTTTTGCTCTCCAGGAATTTAACCGTTATGGAACAGGCACTTGGGAGGAAAACATACCCCTCCAGAGGAACACGCTCACCTGCACTTTCCCACGTGCTTGGTGCGTGACATGTCGGAGATTGGCAAATAAGCTCCAGCAAAGCCCCCTCACATGATCTTAAGTTGTACATGTGTGTGCCTTAAGGGAAAAGCTCTCTGTTTTAGACCCCCCCCCCACGCGAGTCAGAGGTACTGTTACATGTTTGCTTAGCTGTAATCATCTTCTTCTCTTAGTCAGTGAGTCGGTCACACTGGCTGTCCGCAGATCCTGAGCCTTTGTTCAGGTCACAGTGTTTTTTTTGTCATTGTTTTTTTTTTTTTTCCCCACTGCTCTCACTGACACACTCACAATTGTATACTGGTCTTACTCAGAAATCCCAGGATTACACTTGCGTGACATAGTTGCATTGACTATGTCAAAAGACCTAATCTGCCCCTTCACTAATGCGCATACACACACACACACACACACACACACACACACACACACATCATCTCCACCCTCTGCTGTTTCGCTGTCTCCCATCCCCCCCGTATCGTTACATAACCCTCAACTCTCGGAGCTGGGGTGTGACGCAATGAGCGGATCAGCCAACACTGTTGTTGTGCTCACATTGAGTCTTGGCAGTCCAAAGTATTTTTGTATGCGCGCCGCCTTTTTTTTTCCGTGGTCGCTTCTGATCCCATGATTACAAAACGCCTTCAACTTTCCACGCAGACGGCAGAATTCGAATCTTGTGAAACCTCTGGCCGTTGCATGACTGCGAGCGTGTTTTGATGACGGAGGAGCTATTTATATCCCAGTTGTTTTGGGAATAATTTGTCCTGGAAGTTCGGAGCCCTGCCCTCCAAAAAGACTGCAGTCCATTGATGTCCAAAGATCACTGGCTTTTAATCTCGGATGCTGTCACTGGGTGAGCGGTAGCTCCCCGAAAACATTCGTTTACACAATCCCAGCAGCTGTCTGGGCCCTGACTGTTGGCCGCTGCCCCCTTTTAACTCCCTCGGAATTTTGCAGTTGTTCCTCTTGAATTCGTCTTGTTCATCAACATTGACACATCTGCAGCAGGCAGAGCAGAAAACACGCCACACTGCCTGAAATGCAGAGCCCTTCTCAAAACCAGCCTCACCCCTTCTGGGGATTTACTTCATCTTAATGTTATGTTAACTCGCAAATAAAAAGTTTCTGATTTCGGGAGTGTCTTCTGGTGATTTTGGTCCCTCCCTTTTCTCCCAATATTGTGGTGTGAAATAAATAATCATCATAATTAATGAATAAATGTATTTATGTGTGTGTATATATCATGTGAAAGTCTTTTATATTTATATATATATATATATATATATATACACACACACACACACATTTAACCTCATTATTTATTTTAAGGTATTTATTTTTCCGGCTGTGTGATTGAGCCGACAGCTGCTTTAGGATATATGACTGCTCCAACTGATTCTGTGTCTCTTCCCTTCTAGGAAACTCCCAACTCCGTTTTCTTGGTCATGGAGGTAAGTTTAGAAACGTGTGTCTGGATAACACTTGTGTCACAACGTCTGACATCTTCTCGCGTGTTGCGAGTTGCGGCGACCAAACAAAATATTAGTTTTCACTTTAGCATTCACTACAAGGTATTTGTTTAATTCCAACCCTTGTTGTCCTCCCGTGTCAACTTTTGGCAGGTGTAAACTCTTCTGCTCTTTAAAATAGAGAACAATTACTGCCCCTCTGGCCACTCACTGAAAAGTCCCTTTTTTTGTTTTTTTTCACTGAGCGATGTAATCGTCCCCAAAAACCATTTCCGTTTCCCAACATGCTGCTTTAAAGAGGGTGCCAGCCCCGAAAACCTTTGTCAAAAAGCACCCTTCTTTTTAATAAAGGGGATGCAGTCAAATCCTAATGACAACAGACCCTTCATATTTGGTTAAAGTGAAATTATCTCAAATAAGCGTTGGTCTTTTATGACAAAATCAGTATAACAACTAACATATGAACAATCTAAGCAGCTTTAATGCTCCTCAAACTGTATTGAAGGCTGTTCTGAATCGGTCAGCATGGTTAAACGCATATCTAAGTGGGGCTTCAGTTTTACAACTCAACTTATCTAATTAGACCACTGCCCTTGTTCCAGTTTACACGCACCAGAGTTAGTAACTGAGGGATGGCTGACATTTTAGGTTACTCACAGAGCACCTCTCTGGAGTTGGCCGGCATAACTTTAATTAGCTGGTTTTCAGTCAAAATTTCTTGCATTTTAAGCCATCTGTGTAGATAACTGAAAAAAGTGTTTCCTGTTAAAGGGAGTGATCACTTTTTTATGACAGTGTTTTAAGAGGAGTGGGGTGTAATCAACCATCAAATCAACCTAGTTCCCTAAACAGACCTTTTTGGATCAAATTTTGAATTTGATATATAAAAAAAAAATTCACATAGACATTACAAACATATAATTTAATTAATTTAGTCAAAAGAAAAGTCAGATTTCTGTCTGGCTCAGTTGGCACATCTGACTTTGCAGCAGCTCCTCGTGTTTGCCGTGTTTTTACTGTCTGTAGTGGTCAGTAAAACAGCTGATTTGTGTTGTGCTCAATGGCACGTAGTGTAGTCTATCATGTGTCTGTTGACATCATGTGCTTTCCATCCATGGGAAAATATCCATGTGTGCATGGCTCTTGCCCCTGTAACCACACCATTTTGGGCCATATTCTGTCTTATATCTGTTCTGTATACTTCTGGAAACGTTGTATACCAAAGTTTATATTTTATCTAAATGATTTATTTTGTTTGCGTATTTTAGTGGTCCAGTTACGTGGAACTTATTTAGTCGAGCTTTCTTTTTCTGTTGTTAAAAAGGAACACATTCAACAGAGCACCCGTTAAGGATCCAGGTTTCTCAGTATTGACTTTGTAAGCTATTTCACACATGCTACCACACTTAAATCCTGATGTCTAAAACAATGATGTTGTCTGTCAAAATTCCTATGTGGCTGAGGACAGCGACTAAGGTCACATGATTGCTCCGAAAGTTGGAAGCAGGCGAATGTCTTTTTCACCTACCAAGAGCTTTGATCATTCGTTCACATGCTGTAGCTTTGCTGCCGACCTCTTTGTATGACTGAAGCTTGTGTTTGTCATAATCAACACAAAAATGTTTGTTTTGATTTATTTACATATCCTCTTCCAAGTTAATCTTCATTGCACATACCTACTGTCTCTTGTTGTTAAAAACGTTTCAGCTCTTATAATGTTCCACATTTGATATGGAGTGTACATTATTTGGGTGGGAATTGAACACTTATCACAACACGTGCAGAGAGACACAAACCTCTGCCTCTCTGAGCCTTAAAACTGACGCTGACGGTGATTGTTTGTCTCCACACAGTACTGCAATGGAGGCGATCTGGCTGACTATCTGCAAGGTAAGCATCCGACTAATCCGTCCCTCGCTCACAGATGCGCACACACACACAGATTATTGTTCATCAAAACAAACCTGTTAATGCCGGGGGTGGAGGAGAAGCCACGCGAGTGCCACTATGAGTGTAGGTTCATGTTATGGTGCAATTGTCGTTTCTGATTGACGGCGAGCGTGTGAAGAATGCCACAAGCCTGCATAACATCACAGCACAGGGTGTTAAAATCTTAAAGAGCATGCTTGTGTGCTGGGGACTATACGTATGACTAAATGTTCTCTACATGGGATAATGTGTGTGCGTGTGTGTGTGTGAATCACTGCAGCTTTGTGCAGTGTTCTCTCCTCTTTGTTTAAGTGAGCAAAGTGTTTGTTATTGTGATAGTTTCTTTAAAAGTCATCCTTTTCTGGTTGTACAGTCATCTTGGGATTATATGACTCAAATGACATTTTAAAGTGTGAGTCGGATAGCTCAAACGGGAACAAGAAAACGTACAGTGAGACATGCATATCAAAAACATACACATCATCCTGTCCTCCATTTTATTGTGTTTTCTAACATAGTTGTTCTGATAGTATCAGTGACACAGTATCTCACTGTAACCAGACGTTGGAAGCTAGATAAATGGGATGTCACATTTTATGTCTGGTTTTAAATTGTTGTTTTTTTACATTGATAGACTTCATTTTGAGACTTTAATCTGTGTAAATATGGTTTTGAGAAATAGAATTTTCACACAAAACCCAGCATTGACCTGCTCTCTCAGAATATTTTTTTTTGGTGCTGCATTGTGTATTGTGACTAAGACAACAAATATAATAATGTCTTTAGATTCTGGACTTGTTGCAATTTGGATTTACTACTGGAGAGTGATGAACACTCAGTGATCGACATAAATTATGATAAACATCCAAAAACCTTGAAAAAAACTTCTTCTGGTTGTTTTTTTAAATAGTTTTAGGGTTGAAATCAGGTTGTCTGTTTTAATCTGGATTATTAATACAACATGGTAACCATTAACCTTAATAATTTGAGGCAAAAAAAACACCATTACTCACATTTCTTTGGAGGAAATAGGATTTTGAAAGCTCACGGTGGAAATGCATGAGTTTTTAGCTGTTTTTAATTCAGAATTTACTTACCGGTCCATGAAAACTTCAAACCACTGTCTCTTTTTTTTTTTTTTTTTTTAAAGCTAAGGGGACGTTGAGAGAGGACACACTCAGGATTTTCCTTCAGCAGATTGCTGCTGCGATGCGCATCCTGAACAGCAAAGGAATCATCCACCGAGACCTCAAACCACAGAACATACTGCTTTCATACGTGGGTCGCAAAAAGTCCAACATCAGCGGTGTCCGCATTAAAATAGGTAATATTAAAGAAACATGCCTTTTTAAAACAATACAACTTCTCTCAAGTTATGCAGACTGTGTTTGGTTAAGGTTATTATTTCAGATTTTTACAATTAAATAAATGTTTTGTCAGAGAAAAATAGGACAGGTTGAAGCATCAGCCCCACGGGGTGTTTGAACTATTACATTTTTAAAATGATTGGCATTGTTTTCTACTTTTTCTGAGCCTTGTGTGCCACTATTTTATCTTTGTTTCTATTCTTGATCTCCTAGACATCGCTCAGGGTCCAGCAATAGTGGTTTGTGTCACTAGTGATAACTTCAGTGTCTGTTTTTTTTTCATTCTGGCCTGCAGCCGACTTTGGCTTTGCACGATACCTTCAGAGCAACATGATGGCAGCCACACTGTGTGGGTCACCGATGTACATGGTAAGTGTGCTTTAATCTTCTTGTTGTCGAGTGAGTCCAGAGCTCCATCTCTGGCAAGACTTTACCCCTTCTGTCGGGCTCTTTCTGAACATAACATACATTTCTAAAATAGCATTATACATAGAATACTTTTTATGTTTCCTATAAAAGAATATGTTACACTATGTTAGAATTATTTACAAGGAAAAGGTAGAAAGAGGAAAGCTCAACATCAATTTACAGGTCTCACATTATGATGAAATAAATTAATTGAGGTCATATGATACACAATCAAATAATTGTGTATTTTGCCAGATGTGAGCAGCGAGAACAGACTGTGCGTAGTGTGGTTGTTGTCTTTTAATACCCCTCTGGCTTTATGTGGATCTCTGAACTTATTGAAGCTCTGCAGGTCTTTGTACCGAGAGAGAGTCCAGTAGCTTTTCTGTCAGTTCTGCTGAATATAAGCATGCCTTGCTTGTATTCAGTTGAAAATTGTTCCAAGATGTATGTTATTTCAGAAGTGGTGCAGCACAAATCTCTAAATAGCTCAGACAAAGACGTAGAGTTTCCATTTTGATTTAGGTTATATGTGTATGTGGTTCCACACATACAGGCCCATTTCCTTAAAGTTGCAGCTAAACTCATGATGCTACACACAATATAAAGGCCTCTTTGGAACAAATATGAATACCACAGATATGCAGGCGGTGTAGAAAAAAGTGTATAAGGTGCGGCTTTTATGATGAATCCTGTTGCTTTCTCAGCCATGGGTTATATAACTCTCTGTTTTTATTCTGAACTTGTTATCTCTCCTCTCTTAGGCCCCAGAGGTCATTATGTCCCAAAACTATGACGCCAAGGCTGACCTGTGGAGCATAGGAACTGTTATATATCAGTGTCTGGTCGGCAGGCCACCATTCCAGGTTAGTACAATACTGTGCCCTCCAAACAATTAACAAATGAGTTTGCGTCACAGTTTGTCAGCGTGTATAATTTCACGATGAACCTTTTCAGGCCAACAGTCCCCAAGAGTTGCGGATGTTTTATGAAAAAAACAAGAATCTCCAACCCATGTAAGTCCCATTCTGTTGTTCTTTGCACTTTTAAGTTCCCTCTCTAAAGATTTACAACTCATGAAAGCATCATTCAGCATCGGCCAGTTTTTGAGCTAGATATGGTTTGTGAGTCGGTGATGCTGTGCTTTAAGTTTGTCATTTATCTTTTATCGTGATGTGAAATGTGCTTCCCGGTAAGGAATCCTGATGGTTATGACTTGAGTTACTCTGTAGCCTCTGTAGGATCTGGACGTCTGGTACAAACATTCATGGCTGAATCTACATAAATAGAAAAACGAGGGTGGTTGATAGTGGATACAACACCTGACTCCAGCAAGCATGACAATGCAGTAATGTCAGGCTACGGTACAAAGGATCTGTACCAATGTATCACGATATCGTCTGTGTTGTTTTGGTTTGTCGAGTTCTATCCAGTTCTATCCAGCAGGTTTTCATCACATGACAAGTAGTGGCCCTTATTTTGATATTCAATTTGGTCGTTTTGAGCAATGTACTCACAATGTTCTCACGATATCGATGTCCCCACTCTGTAGAATCCCAAGGGAGACATCCTCGCAACTTAGTAACCTTTTGCTCGGGCTGCTGCAGCGAAATCAGAAAGACAGAATGGATTTTGGTGAGCATTGGCTGAATTTTTATAGTACACTGTCCATGATAAATGACAATTGACTGAAGAAAAATAAAGAAAAACACTTTGTAACATAACCCTCTATCTGTGTGCAGACATGTTTTTCAGCCATCCTTTCTTGGAGCCATCGTCGACCATTAAAAAATGTACGTACAAACTGCTCATTCCTGAGAGACATAACCTATAGAAGGAGACGTTCTTTTTATCCTACTCCACAGCATGATTAATGATGATTTATTTCCTTTTTTTCCTCTCTTCCCTCAGCTTGTCCAGTACCGGTCCCCAGCGCCTCCAACGCTGTGACGGACAGCTCCTGTGGCGGCTCCCCGTGCATCCGCTACAGCTCTCCCCCTGTGAGTTGGATATTACTTGCAAAATTCTTAAACAAAGGCTATTACATCGACACTAAATGGGTACAAACTTTTAACCATGCCTTCCTAGTTGCTACTACCAGTTACACCAGTCTCTGTGCAGTGGCTCACTTCCAGGTTGTTGGAGATTGTTTAGTTTTGGTTCAGTTTGGCTTTTTATGCAATAATTCGGTCTCCACTGTCACTCAAAATCCCTCTGTTTGTGTATCCGAACACACAGTCTCTCCCGGACATGCAGACTCTGGCTGAAGATGTTCTATCGTCTCCTCCGCTCGGTCCGCCCAACTTTCTGCAGCTGTCCAAAGAGTCTGCTGGAAGCACCAGCAGTAAGAATTCCTCCTGTGACACTGATGATTTTGTCCTGGTGCCTCACATCTCTGCCGACAGCTGTGAGTGCCACATTGTGTGCTTGTAAATCTGCCCTTGTTTTTTCTCTAAATTGACATGACTGATTCTCCTCATTATGTGTGATAAGCATTAACAAGATTTCATACAGATTACAGATTTCATGGGGAATGCTGAACTTTTAAGATATAGTCCCATGATATCTTCACATGAGCTTCTGTTGAGAGCTAAAGTGTGATATTATAAACTAAGACTCTAAATATGTAATTCTAAAAAGTGTGTGAATGATTTATTTGGCATTTAATGTCATTGCATACAAATATAAAGTTGTTTTTATTATTATGTCTCCTTGATATCTGATGACTTTCTCAGCAACGTTTACAACACTCAAACACACTTTTAATATGGCTATTATTCAGGGCCTTAAACCACCAAAGGCTTTTTTCTTAATGATCAGAGACCAAAAAAATGGTAACATAATGACATGTTTTTCAGAAAAGTTGCTTTAGCCAACAACTGTTAAGCAACTTTAAAAAAGATTAAATATCCAGGAAAAATTACTAAGAAATAGAAATCAAAACAAGCTTTTAACTACATTCACCGTAATTATCTTTGCTCAATCTTAAGCTTCACAAATCCTTTATGTACAAGTAATTACAGCAAGGACATTTAGATCTTAATTTGGAGGTAGCAATCATTGTTATGTCAGGTCCAAAGTACTGTAACAGTTCAGGCATTGAGACTAGGTGTGTTCTGTTAAGCTAATCAACTAGCTCTGTCATGTCTGCGGGAAGTTCACAGAAAACCAGTGTTTATCATTTGTAGCTAGGAAAAAGCTTTTATTGCACACTGTACAATGATAAGTGACAAACTGTCTGGGAGCTTTTGAACTGTCTAAGTAAATAACAATTGTTTTTTTTTTCCAAAATGACTGTTTCTGTGGAGTCTGTGATGTAGACAGCACCAGTCAATTGTAGCTCTTTGGACATACCTGCTCATTTTAGATGTGCCCAAACCATTTAAAAGCACAGGATTTTTCTGCTCCATAAAAGTGCCTTTACCAGTGTTTCCAGCTATGTGGAGTAAATGTGTGAAGTGTAGCACCAGCTGTGGAAGCGTAATCCTCGCATTGTTTAAAACATTGATGAATGCATTTAGATTATTTTCTACTCAGAACACACCCCATTAATAACCACCACGGCGTATTGAATGTTGAGGTCCCATTCAATACCTGCTGCTGCACACGTGCTCACATAGCATGTGTCACTAAATCCGCAGCTAGAAAAATTAGACAGCTGCTAACCGTTACACGCTGTAACCGAAGACTCGGTCCCTTGAACAGTGAAAACACGCACTTGCCCCCTTTGCTCATGAAATGAACCCTGATGACGAACACCTGCTCCAACACACACACACACCCCCATATCAACACAAATCCACCTGCCATGGCACAATAATGAACAGTGTAAGGAACAGAAGATGGATGGGAGTGTAAGGTGTCTGTTTGTCACACAATAAATCATGACTTGTGAAAGAGTGAAGGACGTTTTATGCTGGCATATGCTCACATCGTGCCTTTTTGTCTTCCTCAGATGATCAACCACTGGGTCCAGGTCATCGGGCATCCAACGAGTATCTTTTGTGTGGAGGGTAAGCAATTTGTAACCCAGTCCAACTTAAAGAAAAGAAACAAATCCAGTTCTAGTGCTTCATTCGGTTCATCCACAGGTCACCACCACCGGTTTTAATATTTCATTTTATTTTTATAAAAGGTGGTTTGTCAGGGAGTGATGGAGTGCTTAACAGCTTTGGTTGCATATTCGTCAAATAACATCTGAATAGCATCCAGTGGATGCACACTCACCCTTTGGACTTAAAGTTGTTGGGATATCTGTTAATGTTAGTGCTCCTCTTTCCATTTGAGACCTTTTTTTGGGCATCTGAACGTCTTATGAAGTGGTTTAATGTGGCAGAAACAAACACCTAAAATAGACAAATGTAATAGATATAGAATAAAACAAAACCTGTATATATAACTAGATCTCTCAATTTCATTTCAGTTCTTGTGAAACATTTGGGTGAAAATATCTACAAATTTCCAGTCTTGGTTGTTATCATATATAAACTCTTAAACTCTAGTTCTGGGATACAAACATTTTATTTGAGAGGCTTTATCATGGCTTTAAATCCACCCTAGTTACATCTAAACTTGGCGTCTCTAAGCTGTTGTCTTTTTTTTTTGGGTTGTGACTAACAACCAAACATTGGAGAGTTGAACCGTAATAACAATGTGTGGGGCAAAGAAGTTCTTCTATGAATGGTGCCTGTAGTGAAATGATTTCTATGCGGTCCAGCATGACTGAGTCATCAGCCAGACTTCGTGAAGCACGAGCCGTGTTATCAGTGTAATGGATGCGCAACATGACGCCATCAGATTAGATTTCACATTCAGCCATAAGGTCCCATTTATCAAAGGTCATTATCTGTTCTTGGGGGTTCTTGTTTGTCTCTCCACGAAGAAGCCTCATTTATTTCTGGCTACCGCACCACAAGGAAAACAGCATCCTTTCAGCCTTAGGTCAGATACCCGTTACTTTGTCACGAGTAAGCACTCCCGGCCACGATCAAATCTGAAGTTCAACGACTTGTGAATCAGACCCTGAGCCAAACAAAGAGTTGCTAAAAACGGTGTGCTGCGTGGATAATAATACGTTCACACACTCACCAGACGTCATCGAAGAGGGATTGCTATTATTGAGCTTGGCTTTGTATTTAGAAATGCTGCATTGTTTCAACACAAAGGTTATTCCTGCCCTCTCTCAATAAAGATTTAAATCCAGGTAGTAATGGCTTCAAATTTCTCCCAATTTCCACATCATGTTCATGTTCCACATTCTGCCCATTAGTGGTTTCTTGATATTCCTTAAGTAAAGTAAGTGAGATTTCATTGTTGGTTCTGGTTGTTAATTTAGTTTATTTCATCTTGAAATACAAATGTGGCTAAAATAGTTGCTATTAATTTTCGTTACTCAAGGCCAGCCTAATTCTGGTTCCCCATCATCCTCCTGAACATATAGAAACACTAAAATCATCAGCATTTCAATTACGTCGCATACGGTCTAGCTTTTCTAGCTCCAGTTTAAAGCGGACAATTCAACAGAACAAACATCTTTAAGAACAAAAAGAAACAAGTGTTGCTTAATCATTTTATTGTGTTTTTCTTTTAAGCCGAAAACAGTCATAAATACTTTTAAAACTTTTTATTCATTCCATGCCATTTAGACTTAACTTTAACAAGTTATATGTTACCCATGTATGGTTTGGAACCGCATCCAAGTCAGAATTGTTTTTCCCTTTTGTTGTGTACCACTCTATCTTTTGTGTCACACAGACAGAGCTTAACACTGCTTGTATCTCCTTCCTTTTTTGTTTGCATGTGTAGACAGCCTGAAGCCAAACCGTCCTCACTCCATCCTTCTTTATTTAACATATTCTCATGTGATCTTGTCTAGTCTGCTTCTTATCTCCCTAGCCATAGACAGGACTAGATGTAAACCCCCCCCACCCCCACCCCACTCGAATGATCCACTGTGTTCTGTTCTCCGTATCAATAATGCCTCACTTCTTAAATAAACTAGTTAAACATTGACACCGACAGAAATAATGGTCTGTTCATAACAGGACTTCCCTTTCGCAACTAACTGACAGCAGGGGGGCTCAATAGAACCTCCGGAATAATTGGCTTGTTTATCTTCTTTGTACAGTTTGTCCTAAACGGTTTGAAACAAAAAGGGGAAGATGGTCAAGGGTTCATGTCTGGGGAGAGACTATCCTTGTAAACAAAGCAATCAAATGAAGGAAGGGAAGAAAGACCAAACAAGTTTGTACTCGTTTTATTCTGAGGCTGTAACTGTGGATCATACCCCCCTCTACCACATTATTTGTATAAAAAGCTGGTCAGCAGAGAGTCAGCTGATTTTAAAGGGTGATTCTGTCCTCTTTTCACTTTTCCCCCTTTCCTTCATTACAATATTCCCTCTTTTTTAACAAAGTAACAACTGCACAGCTGGGATCGATGAATTTTTTATCATCAGGATTTATGCGGTTTACATTATCAGCCATAATCTGATAGATGTTAAACGTGAACAAAGATGGCACACGGTCATGTTTATATCTCAGAACTCCAGACATCTCGCAAAACAACCGCTGAGCGGTTCTTTGTCTGGACTCCTCTCTTTGTCACATGTCCTCCTCTCCCTCTTAGTCCCTCCCTCTCTTTGCATAAAAACTGCACGCCAGTATGTTTCTCTCACTTCTTCCCCCCCCCCCCTCCTATAAACGTTCTATATGTTTTGCGAAAGTCTTTGGGCGGTGACTCGATCGCCGCTTTATGTTCGGTACATTTTGTCTCTTTGGGAATTGCCAAACAATGCAAATGAGCGGGGCCCCTTTGCACTTCCCTTCCCGTGTCTGATCAACACAGAGACCCTGTCTAACACGTGCCTGTGGCCACCCCTTCCTCTGGCCCCGCCCTCTGCTCGATGAGCTTGCAGCTCATTTGCTGTCCCCCAGTGTTTACCTCCAAGCCCGGCCCCCTTTTTTCTCCACTTCTGACTCTTGCTTGTGTGTGTTCAACCAGGCTGAAGTCAATCTCGACAGCCTGCCTCCGCATAGTGTGCATAAAGAAAGGGGCAAAAGAATTCTGATCCGTCCTCGTGGCGTACTTTCTGTAGCGGCAGTTTCCTTCTGAAGCTTCTGTTTTGTTTTTTATGGGTGTCGAAGCCCCTGAAAAAGTTCTGAAGACATGGAAGCAGCAGCAGCAGCTTAGATCCGGATGGCTAACTGCTCTCACTCCCCCCTTTTCCTCCTCCAGGCAGCCACAGCCCGCGCAGGGACAGACTCCCATGGTGTCCCCACGGGCGGAGACCACCCCCATCCCCGTTCCCACCCAGGTTCGCAACTACCAGCGCATCAAGCAGAACCTCTCCAGCAGCCCGACCACCACGCTCTACGGCTCGCCCAGGTAAACAATACACTCTCCCCCCCGAGATTGACGCAGGCACACTTCGATGTCAGTCCGTGACTCATCGCAAATACATTTCTCGGCGCGGTAACGACAACCCAAGCTGTAATTTCATCAGCCGTAAACGTCCACTGGCATTACATCAGCTACATGTTTTCTTGAGTTTCTGGCTTCTCTATTTGTTGCTTCGAGGGGCTTGTTCCTGGTTTTTAGAAGTGCGCAAAGCAAATGACGAGGGAAGGTCTGGCCATGGTTTCACAGGAAGATTAAAACTGCTGTTAGCATTCAGAGTCTTTTGTCTGATAATGGCAGAAAAGATGACGGCTTCAATGGTGTTTATATTTAGCTGATGTCTTTTCTAAAATGGATTGAATAACCTTAACCTGTGGAATGATTTTTCCCTTGAATCCTAGGGAAAGACTGTCCATTCACAGTAGCTCTGCTTCTTTGTTAGCCGTATAATGACTGAACCTTCCAGTGTCCTCAGTCTGAGGGGTAAATAAAGTCTCTGCCACTTCATGTTAACAAACCGAGGATTTGGTTGACTCAGAGGAGGGAAATTGAAGCAATTGATGCATTTTATACCAAACAAGCGCACAACATTGTAAATCTAGATGTAAGCTGATTCAGACCACATTTAATTCCCCTGAAATTGTTAACCAAATTATTTATTTGTAAGATCCCTTATTTTTTATGGGCGTTGAATGTTCCAGTATCACAGCATACTGCTGTGGTCCTTATTCCACATTTTATAGCGCTATCAACAAAGCGCCTTATCAACAACGCAAACAAATCAAGATGGATGTGTTTCCAGAAATATTGCTCATACTGAAGGAAAGCTTTGTTAGACCTCAATAAAATAGATAATCTTTCATGTTGGAACTGTGAAATGATAGAAATAACTCAGCTTAAATGGGATATTAGTCCTCTGCTGGTAATTTATTCACTTTTTTTTTTCTCATTGGCAAACCAGACCTCAGATGGCTGACAAGATGTTATTTCATTACAGAGTTATTACTTTTTCATTCACTCCTGGGACCAGTCTTTATGGAAGCTTAATTTCGCGATGCGCGTTTGTGCCCTCTAGGTCTGGAACAGTGAGGCGCTCTAACACCAGTCCCATGGGGTTTCCAAAAATGGGCTCAGGGTCCCCCAGCTCGGCAGACGTCCCTCAGCCGGTGGGCCGTCGCCTGTCCACGGGCAGTTCTCGGCCCTACTCTCCATCACCTCTTGGTAAGGACGCCATCAGACACGTCTGAAAGTACATTCATTTCTAAGAAAGCAAAAAAAAATCCAGACTACTCGGAGTGGACACATGCTGCTTCTATCAATAAAAATAATCTGTTTATTTCTCAGTGGGCACAATTCCTGAGCAGCTGGGCCAGTGCTGCTGTCACATGCAGAACCAGGAGGCTCGCAGCCGCAGCTCCTCGGGAGGTCAGTTCAGTGGTGAATCTGCACGTCAGAGTGTTTGCACATCTTTGTCAGCTCATTTACTTAGGCAAGATTCTATGAGAGTGGTCTGGAATGCGATAACATTTCAGAAATATGGATAATTTAGTCCTTCAGAGTTTGCATTGGCTCCAACTCCAGTCATGGAAATATTTGTAACAATTTCCCACCCATTCCGTGTTGTCTTGATGTAGCGCATAGGTTACCATCTATCAGGATCTTGAAGAACCTCTTCTCTTGTCTTTTTTTCTTTTAAACTGGGAAGTTTCTTTATACTTTCTGGAATGAAATAGCCATATTAGGATGAGCACGACATGTTTGACTTGGTACAATGATAATTTACAGTTAAAGACCACAAAGAAGACTCGTACCCCCTGTAAGAACAGAAAAATATGAAAGTCTGTTAGTTCTCTTCGTATGGAGATTGTTAGGCTAAGCGGACGCTGACTTAATCCTTCTTCAGGTTCCCCGACGCCATCATCTCAGCTTCTCGGGGCTCGGCTCCAGAGTGCACCCACCCTGACCGACTTCTACCAGACAAGGCAGAAGCTCCACAAGCAGCTGTCGGACCCCGTGCAGCCTTCGTCCTCTTCCTGCAGTCAGTCTCCTCACCTTAGCCGTCCGGCCAATCTTGGCTCCTCCCCCACCAAGCTGCTGGGCACCTCTCCCCGCACGTCCGACTGGCTGCAAAAGTCCCCTCTGCCCACCATAATTGGCTCGCCTACCAAGGTGGGAACATTATTTTTTTTTTTTACCATCACCAAAACAAAAGGGTCCGTCTCTGATGTTTAATGCTGTAATCGATCTTTTCCCCTCAGCCTATTTCAGCACCGTTCAAGATTCCCAAAACACAGGCGTCCTGTAATCTGCTGGCTTTGGCGGACAGTCCTCTTCCCACCAAGACACTGGCGGACACCCGGGATATCTGTGCCCACCACAGCAATCCCTACCTATCGGGACGGGCCGCTGCCCCAGAGGGCAGCCGGACATTTGGCAGGTAGGATTCCCGACTCCCAGTCTGGGCGTTTCCTTTTCTTTGCTAATATTTCACTTTTAGGACTCCGCTGTCATTTTGCTCCACCCGTTATACGACAAGCAGTATATGCAACAAGTTAACTTAATTTACATCTGAATCCCCTCATGTGCTGAAAAGCTATTATCTAGACTAAAATGAATACAAATGTCCTTTGATATATGACTGGTTTACTGCCTGTTGCACCATTTTGCACACGCATTTGAAATGTGTGGGGAAAGGTAAACCTAGTCAGAGTGCCGGCCCATTAAAAATGACACAACAAGCCCCCTCTGTCATCCTCTGACGTCGGTTTATGTTGACCCCGGCTGACGTAACCCGTGGCTCTCCACAGGTCCGTCAGCACAGGCCGTCTGTCTGACCCGCCAATCAGAATCACCCTGGGAGGACAGGCCTACCAGGGCAGCACCGACAGCCTGAACACTGAGCGACCCATGGACACAGGTGTGGACATGCGGCCGCACACAAGGCCTAACATTCACCACTGCATAGTTTACCTTAGGGATGTCCCGATCCAGCTTTTTTCACTTCCGATCAGATACCAATATTGTATTTGTACTTCCGATCCGATACCGATCCCGGCCGGTACCGATCCCGGCCTATCAAAGCATGTATTAAGGTTTAAAGTTATTTAGCGTACTTACTTAGTAGTCAGACTCATGTTGAACAGGCATTTACTCTTAAGAGTAAGAACTTAATGGTTAGGACACAGACCTGTGGGTTAGGAGATGCTAATGCTCATATGGGATTGGTCGAAAAAAGAAAAAACTGGATCAGGAGTCTGGATTGGCATTTTCTCATGCCGGCTGATATGTAGTTTTTTACGAATATCGGCGGCCAATCCGATACAAATATAGGATCGGGACAAGCTTAGTTTACCTAAGATCAGCGGTCTAGTCTGAATATTACATGTCTTTAGAAATCAAATCTACATATTTTAAATTCGCGCTGTTATGTGGAAGTGTGACAATCCCCCTCTAATCGATCCTCTGCAGCACCCAGCTTGCTGGCCCAGGGTGGCTCCGCCAGCCCCCGAACCGTCCTCTTCACCGTGGGTTCCCCACCCAGCAGCAGTACCCCTCCCACCTGCAGCCACCTTGGAACCCGACCACGCACCACCTCAGGTGAAGACCCTTCCACGTGAGCCACGCCAGTATGCTAAGCTAGTTAAGTGTCACTAACCGCGTCTCTCCTCCCCTCGCTTTATTTTGTGCTTCCCTTTAGTGGGTTCCAACAGTTCGGCCGGCTCCTTGTGCTCCACCAGCGGCCGGGTATATGTTGGCTCTCCCCCAGGCATGACCATCGGCACGTCTCCGCCGGGAAGTTTCGGGGGTGGGCAGACTGCTCTCGGGGCGGACGGGGGCCCTAGCAGCCTGCGCTACGTCCCGTACGGTACCTCTCCCCCCAGCCTGGAGGGTTTCATCACCTTTGAAGCTCCAGAGCTGCCTGAGGAGACCTTGATGGAGGTAAGCTGAAAGAAATTCACCTGACTTTTTCAGTCTTGTGTGTGATCGTTTCCTTTGGACAGTAAACTGTTCGTGGAGTTCTCTCTGCTTTATGGTTTTTAAAATCGACTCTCTGGATCTCTTTTCCCAGCGTGAGCACACAGACACCCTGATGCACCTACGAATGATGCTTTCATTCACCGACTGCGTCCTGGAGATGGCTGCCGTCCGAGCCGGGGGGGCGGAGCTCGGAGCGTCGGCCGCTTCCCTCTACCCCCCACAAGACAGTGTGGTTGTGGACCAGATCAGCCAGCTCAGCAAAGAGTGGGGGTACGAAAACTAAGTTCCGATTTCAGATTCAGCGCTGTCAGAAACCCATTTAATTGATATCACAGTGTGAGAAAGAACATTTCTGCCATGCATTGTTGGCGCAGTCCAGCCATTTGAAATAGTGTAACTGTGCCGCCCCCTACAGGCAAGTTGAGCAGTTGGTGCTCTACATGAAGGCAGCTCAGCTGCTCGCTTCCTCCCTCCACCTCGCAAAGGCCCAGATCAAATCTGCCAAACTCAATCCGTCCTCTGCAGTAAAACAGGGTAAGGATAGTTTCTTCCTTATTTTCTTCCACCATTTGTTTCTTCACCCAATAAAACACCCACCAGGAAAAAAAGATGATAAAAAAAACAACTCCTTTTTCCTTTCGTTCTCTCAGTGGTGAAGAATCTGAACGAGCGCTACAAAAGCTGCATCTCCCTCTGTCGGCAACTGACCGACAAACTCAACCACTTCTTCTCCGACAAGCAGCGCTTCGTGGATGAGATCAACAGCGTCACCGCCGAGAAGCTCATCTACAATCACGCCGTGGAGATGGTGAGTCTCACACACACTCACACGGGTTGTCGAAGTTCCACTCCAAATATTTGAACGCAACTTCGTAACATGCGGCCGTAGTCGGTGTCGGTCCGCCTGACGTGATCCGTTTGCGTGCCAGGTTCAGTCGGCAGCTCTGGACGAGATGTTCAAGCAAACGGAGGACATAGCCTACCGCTACAGCAAGGCCTCCATGCTGCTGGACGGCCTGTCGAAGGTCCTGCAAGACCCCACCGACATCGACAACGTGATGAAATGTGAGGACGCGCTGCTCGCTCTCTTTACGCAAAGCTCAAACATTTAACCCTTTAAAGGCTAATCCAAGAATAAAACCAAACAGGAAATTACTTTTTTTTTGTTTTAAGTCTTTATTTGGCCTTTTAACAACATATGTAATATTTTGAATATTAATAATTTATTATTATACGATAGGTCAAGATTATTTTTTGTGTAGTCTTCTGCCCCCTGTTATCAGGTGTATCTGATTTTGTACAATAGGATTTTGAGCAAAGTTTTTACCATTAAATTATGCAAAAGGTGTCAGACGCAAAACATTTCAGAAACCGTATGTATCAAATATGATACGTTTGGCATTATAGGGTTAAACATCGGACACTTTTATCCATTCCTGACATGTAGACCTAAGTAAACGGAGGTGAACGTACTGAAAAGTTCTCATGAGTGTCATCGTATTGCATGAAAAGCAGCGTTGCCGCCTGCATCTGTAATGATTTAACACGTGTTGGTTTTTGGGTTTGTCTCCTGCAGATAAGGCCAGTGTGGACCGCAGGATATCAGCTCTGTGTTACTGTACTGTCACTCTGTACGAGTAGCGGGCCGGGCCGGGCCCAAACACGTGTACACCACAGGGGGGACCACGCGCGGAGACTTTTCCGCAACCATCCTTGAAAACAACCCATTCCCTCCCGTAGCAGCTGGAGCACTTTTTGGTCGTTAGGTTTCATCCGTATTTATCGTCAGTTTATTTGATGCACATAAAACCAAAGATGATGGAAAAAAATCCAGAGAGGAAAGAAAAAGATAAAAAGCCCTTAAAGCGGACGTGGACATTGAGCACGCGCTTTAAAGGGGCGTTTTATTCGTTTGCGACGGTGACGCACCATGGGATCGTAAAAATGTACTCTGGACGTTGCTTGTTTTTACCAGAAGAAATGGAGGATTCACCGGTCTGTGAGGCACTAGCGTGGACTCCAAAAAAGACTTACAGCTCTGTATGAAGAAACTTCTCTGTCAGTGGTTATTTACTCTGTTTAAGTTGTTGTTCTACTTATTTATTTGTTGTCTCGAACTTCCGTCTCGAACACCTTAAGCATCGAAGTGTACGGAGAAGGAAAAAATCCACAGAAAGGCTTAAAGCCGCACACTGTCACCGATCCAACTCAGAGACTGACTTTCGCAGCAAAAGAAAAAACTCCTGTTACAGGACCCGAAACAGCCATGAGGACAGAGGATCCCGTAGAGTTGTAATTACTTTGGTTTTAATTTTTTTTCTCGTGTTATTAGCTCAAGCACTTTATTGTGGAAGGAGAGCGGGGAAACCGATGTTTAAACGCAGAAACGTGACGACGGCGGAGACGTTTTCTCATCGCTCTCGGTTTCGAAACAAACTTGCTTTGTGTTCGTGGTCAACAAGTCTACACGAGGAGGCGTGCTCGGTTGTGTAGCACAGAGGGAAACAAAGAGATCCAAACATTGAATATCAAAGTAAAAGCATGGATTTGAATTCAGCTCTTGAACATTTAGATTGTCTGAACTCTTGTGAAAAGCTCACAAAGGGCAAACAAAAACGTCTCGTGGTCGTGACTTGTTGATCATGCAACAGAAAGGAAGGAAGGAAGGAAGGAAGGAGAATTGGGGTGAAAGTGGCTGGCTCAGAGGGTTCGGAGGGATCAGAGCGTGTAGCAGGTCGTCCTTTCGTGGCGAGCCGATCAGGTATTCTCTGCAAATCCTGATGGGAGTCAAACCCAAACGATCAAACGGCTCGACCAGTTACCACAATGCGTTTCTTAAAACTAAAACAAAACGACAGCTTTTTATGTTCCGCTAGAGACCGTAGCTATTTTTTAAGAAAAAAAAAAAACATAAAAAAAACAACTAAAGTTGATGTTTGCATTGTGTATATATCTGAATGTGGTCCCTTTTTTTTTTTCGTGGGAGAGAAATATGCGTGCGTGAGTGTGAAATCAGATTTAGTGGCATCGGATTGCTGTCGGATGCCCTTGCCTGTCAAAGAGCACAAATCTTTATATGTAGATAGATGAATTTGTATTGATTTTATTCATGTTCGCCAAGGGTTTAATAAGAAAAACGTTTTTTGGCACAATAGGAGTGTGCCAAAAAAAAAAAAAAAAACAGATAACAAAACTGTTGGCAGCTCCGAAACTTTCCAAAAAAACTCTTTCTACCAGGACTGTTCTTTGTTGAGATCACATTCATTTGCGCACAGTTTCCGAACAAGGAACGAGTGTAACGTCATTATCCCTTTTTTTTTTTGTTTGAGACTTGATTCATTTCACTATGTCCACTGCCCTATAGCATCCCTCTGCCTTCCCCTCCAGTTACCTGCTGTGATCCAAACTGTACATGTACTGTATGTGTGCGATGCCATGTGTGCATTAAGCTCAGTAGAATATAGTCAGAGATGGAGAAAAAGGAGGTGCCTTCTTCTCATGGAATCATAGGCCTGCTCCTCTGTACAGATGTGAATACGTTCTTTTTCCTCTGTATAAACACATTCACAGGTGGTCTGTGGGCCTGAACCGATGATGTACTGTCTTCTTTATTTTATTTTTTGTTCTTTTCTAAAAAAATATCCGGTTTTGAGTTTTCACCTGTCGCGCTCCGAATCACATGAAGCCTTTTACTGCACACTGAGTGAAGAGGGACTAATCGAGCTCACGGAGAGCCCGTCGGAATCTTCGCTCTGTTTATTCGTTTTGAACTTTTAAAGGAATACATGTACATTTTACGATAACCTTAGCATGGGTACCGAGTTTGCATTTTGCCCCGTAGAATCACTAGAGTATTGAATGTATGTACCCTGTTGTTTTGCACCTTTCCAGCTTGATCAGAATGCGATTTAAAGAGAAACCTTCCTGTCAGTCACTACCCCGATGATGCAGCGTTTTCCAAGATCCTTGTTTTTTCCCGCTCCCCCTTGAGAGAACTGTCATATTTGTGTCTCTTACCAACTGATTTAACTTGTTCTTTATGGAACCCAAATACAATCTTTGTTATTAAATAAGGGGGAAATGACTGTCAGTTCTTTTCTTTCTTTCCTTTTTTTCTTAAAATCTGTTTCTGTTTTTGTCAATTTAGTTTTGTCCAGAGGAGTGAGTGAGGGCAAAAAAAAATAAGAGCAGGTTGCTGTACCACGCCTTGAATTAAAAACTGAAGTAAAAGTCTATATCAGACATAGCTGCCGCCTTCTCAAATATTACTGACAGATCTCTGGATAAAGTGGCATTTAGTCAGTTCATTCAAAATCGTCTCGGTCTTCATAAATTGGGCATTTGAGAGGCACATTAGCAGAATACTGTGTTTGGAAAAACAGTTTTTAACTCGGTGGAACTAAAACCCATTTGTTATTATAACTTAGGCCAAATTTCAATAAGTTGTTTTTCTGTGACAGACTCAACCCTTCTTGGCCTGGAAGGTAAGTGTTGTGCAATTTTGTAGCTGGGCGCTCTGCCATTCTTCAGATATGACAGTTGTGCTTATTAACCCCTTCTTTTACATCCAAAATTCCTCCTCTATTGCCTTCAAAATCGGGCAACATCCTTAACTTTTTATTAAATTTAAACGACTTGGCGACACAAGCCTCAGCTTGCGTGTTGAATATTCCACTTTTAGAGTTCACTTTACTTCTGTTCCTCCAAAAAATGTTTTTGGAGCCTCGAATTCTTCACGTTTAAGCACAGCAGCTCATCCTCTATGATGGTACCCGACCCTTTATGTATCGAACCCTAGCCTGCTTCCTGTTCTCAATATACAGGCCTAAACACCTACCTGTTCAGTTGTTTAAATTTAGCTATTGAAACTTAAGATTGTGCATCAAATTTATCAGTGGACGTGTGTTAGCCCACTTTTGTCTCTGATCTCTCAACATACTGGAAGACAATCGCTTGCCGGGTTGCTTCAATTTCGATTGCTCTAAAGTCTTTGTGACTGAAATGCACCACTACTTCTTGCTGTGGCCCTGCTGACTAATTGAAAAAAGAACAAAAAAAGTAAAGGTCAGCTTTGATCAGCTTTGTAGGAATTCCACTCAATGTACACCTTGCTCCATTGGCAGTCCAGATGTAGTGTGATCTCATTTAGTTCTATTTTAAATCATCTCTAAAGTCCACACTATCCCTCTTTCCATTGATGTGGAATGTGGGACTGCAAATTTGAGAACACCAAATCTTCACTTGAGCTTTTTGAGCTTCACAATTTAAACACCAAGATGTGTCGCAAAGCTTATAGATGGATTTCTATATTTGATACAATTGGTAACAATCCACACCATCTTATTCGAAAAAGTAGGCCCGATTTCTGTAAAACACAATAAGCTAACCGGAATGATTTTTGTTGGATTCTTGATCGTATCTGATTTAACTTTCTCTGAAAAAAAAAAACAATCTTCATGTTTCATCTATGTTCTGATTGCAGCCTGTGGCAAAAATATCTTTGTTGATATTTTGGAAGGAGGGACTTATCATGAGTGGTGTGCTGATTGGTGCCTTCCATAGTAGGCCCGACCAACTGACACCGGCAAGTCTATAAAAAGTTGTAAATTGGAACTAGTGAGCTAGACTCACCGGTTTAACTGGAGGAGGGACCGAAAAGTGAAACGCATTTACTGTAAGTAGTCTTCAAAATCTTTTTATATCACGGTATTTATCATTTCTGTAGTAAGTTCATCATCAGTCTATTGAGGATTCCGTGATGCTTTGCTCTCAATAAATAAACCAAGTCCAAAAACAAGACAACTTGTTTTGCTTTTGTTTTTTTGTTTCTTTTCCTTTTTTTCCCTGTTAAGCATCTTGTAAATATCTTCTTATAGCATACATGTATTGAAATATGGGCACCAACTCACTTTTTTTATCATGTGGAAGATGTAATTTAGAGGCAGGCTACATGTTGGTTGATTTTGATGAAAAAATACCTTGTGATTTTTAAACAAAATCCATCTTTTTTTTTTCTCCAGATGTCCCGAGAACAGCTGGTCGTACAGCGGGCCAGACAGTCCTTCCAGACGGGGAAAACCAAGCCGCTGGAGTACAGGATCCTACAGCTGAAGAGACTTCAGGTCTTCCTCCGGGAGCGACGAAAGGAATTGGCCGATTCCCTGAAGAAAGATCTCAATAAGGTCTCACAATAGTCTACAAAGTTACTCTTAAAACGTTTTATTTCACACGTCTTTGGGAAAGAAAAGGATAGGTTGGGAGATTATTGATTTGAAACAACATTATCATTGAAACAACAATTTTCCTTAACTTGTTAAATAGAACCTCATTCCAAAAATTGTTTCAATGTTCCTCACAGAAGATTTGATGATGGTGAAACATACCGTTTAACTGAAATGTTAATAGTGACAGAATGTCCAACACGTTACTGTAACAGACCAAGATTCAGACTGAAGGACATTGTAAAACATTAATTCTGTCCTCTGGATCGGAGTGCTCTCTGCTAGATGCGAAAAAGAGCCACATGGTTTCATCTTGGACACTTCTGAGGAGGAGTAGTCCATTTAAGGCTCAAACATGGACAACCTCAAGGTTGTCCACGTATGTGTGTGGAAGTCTGCTTTGGATCTCTCTTTTGGGAGACCTTGTTAGGCGTTTTTGGGATACTTTGTCTCATTTTGTTACAAGAGTATAAACGTCTTATATCAGTTCAAGAAACAGTCAGTTCCTTGATTGTATCAATTTACAGACTTAGACAAAAGGTTGTAAAAATAGTTGTCTAATAATAATGCAATAATATGCAAAAAACCTACAGCGGTTCTTTGAATTTAGTGTGATATTATTTCATTTCACAGCACAAAATAGTGTAAATATATTTTTTATTTCTCAGTTTCAGAGATTTTCTTTTTCACATCCATTTTGCATCTCTTAAATGATTTGAAACTTTATCTCTTTGAGACGCTTTCATTTGTCACAACACAAAAAGATATTCTTGCATTGGGGAGAGTCAGTCATGGGGAGTTTCAGGCGTTGGTAATTGACATGTTTGTAATTTCTCATAACTTTTGCGCACCGTCATTAGAGATGTATAAATCAGTTGAAGCAATTTGGCTATTGTGAACCTACAGCATTGTAGACTTTGGATTTTTGGTCACAGATTTGATGACCCTTTTTGTTTCTGGTTATTCTGTTTTTCCTTCCATCCCCTCCCAGACCTCACTTTCCACAGCTCCTTTCACTTCTGCCTTCTACAGTAAATCTGTTGCTGAATGGTGGTTCTTAAATTAGTGCCAATGGAAACGTTCCACACCGATGACATCAGATCAAATCTTGATTGTTTGCAACTTTTAAATTTTAGGTATATCTGCCAGGCCTTTGAAAAATCAACGTTTTACACTCACCAAATCTTTTCTTTTCAGAGCGAATGTGGGGCCGAGCTGTTCGAAATTGTGGTCGTAGAGGCAGAAATCAAGCTGGCAATAGAGAGCGTTGCGGAGTGGTCGGCTCCCCGGCCAGTACACAAGAGCTTGGTCACCATTTCGGACGAGGTCTACGTCAAGCCCGAGCCCCTGGGAGTGGTGCTCATCATTGGGCCGTGGAACTACCCCCTGGCCCTGGTTCTGCTGCCGCTGGTCGGAGCCATCGCTGCAGGTTTATGAAATGTTTTAGATGTTTAGGGGATGTTTTTAAAACACTGAGATGGATCGCTGTACAATTAATGGTGCAGTTTCTTTTGAAAATGATGGAGTCATCTTGGGCTTTATCATCTATCTGCATAATATCCAAATTTGCTTTGTACAGTTTTTGTATTAATTTAATAGTATTTATTTTTCAATAGTTTTCAACTAAAGCAACTCATTCTTTACAAGGGCAGTGCTGAATCTAATTTGGATAGCCAATATGGTGAAAGTGGGTATGAGAAATAACAGAAAATGAAAAAAGAAATGTTATCCCAACCTTGTAGGATAACTAATAAATTAGGGAATATAACCATCACTAGATGAATGATCTTGGTAAACATTTTAATTCTGCTATTTTCTTTGTTATTTTAGCAATAATTGATTTAATCCTACTAGTGTAGAATGTCTAAATTTTGCAATAGATGACAACATTTACCAGAAAATCCATTGAAGTGATTAAAAGTCTGCAAAGCAAGAAGTTGTTGTCATGGCAATGTTCGAAAATCTTAATAATAGTATACATACTGCTCAGACTCTCAGTCAGGTCTGAAGTTATCGAGATAATGTGGTCGGAAGGCCTAAAGAGTAGGCGAGATTTACAGAGTGGGTGAGGTTTTCCAAGTTATTTGTCATATTCTACTAATTTGTCATGGAGCAAATGTATAGATGACAGTAAAACATTTAATACAATGAACTCTTTACTGTTGGCATCGTTGACTTTATTCCTGTGTGAAATGCTCAAAAATCATGACTACAAGCCAACACTGTCCAGTTCAGTTTGTAAATTTGATTGTCATATGGGAATTCTGGTATTAACATTAACCTGTTTTTTTTCAGTTAATCAATGTTTATATCAACTTTCAGGCAATGCAGCTGTAATGAAACCATCCGACCTCAGCACTAACACCTCTAACCTCTTGAAGGAACTCCTCCATCACTACATAGATGAAGTAAGCTCTATGATTTTTGTCCATTTCCTCTCTTCCACATCGCTGAGTGTACAGGAAGTGATAATAACTGAGGAATGCTCTCTTTAGGATGCGTACCCGGTGGTGACGGGTGGCGTGCCGGAGACTCAGGAGCTCCTGAAGCAGAGATTTGATCACGTTTTCTACACGGGCAGCACCACGGTGGGCAAAATAGTCATGGAGGCTGCAGCTCAACACCTCACTCCAGTGACTTTAGAACTGGGAGGGAAGAGCCCCTGCTACATCGACAAAAACTGTGACATTGCCATCGCCTGCCGGTGGGTTTTCTTTATCCGATCTATTCACTCTCACTCACACATCCCCTTATCCACGCAATCTATCCGATCGACTTTCAATTATCTGCCCTTTTTAACCCTATAACACCAAATGTATCATATTTGATACATACGGTTTCTGAAGTCTTTTGAATCTGAGACTTTTTGCATCATTCAATGGTAAAAGCTTTGCTCAAACCCCTGTTGTACACATTCAGATATACAGTACCTGATAACAGCCAGTAAAAAGCCTACACCAAAATATATTTTTGACTTTTGACTATTTTTGCACGCTAATTTGACCAAAATTATTTCTGTTTTTTTTCTTCATATGTTATTGAGGGGCCAAATAAAGACTTCAGTCTAAAAAAAATCCAATATTCTTCCTATTTTTCTTGGATCGGGTTTAAAGGGTTAATTAGACTCCTGCTTTGGTCTCAAATAATGAGTTCTCTCTCTTCCGACGCAGGCGCATCACCTGGGGAAAGTTTATTAACTGCGGGCAGACGTGCATAGCTCCAGACTACATTCTGTGTGAGCCATCCATTCAGAACAGAGTACTGGAGGAGATCAAAAAGTCTGTCAAGGTTAGTTTTGTACATTAAAGCTAATATGATACCCAGTGCATTGTGGGATGGCACCCATTGGCCTGAAGCCCTGAGCACGAAACAAAGTTAGAGAACGATATCCATGCTCATCTTTGATCTATTTGGCTGCACGGTGTGTGATTGTCAATGCAAGAGGGTTCCCGGTTTGAATCCTGGTGGGGGGTCTTTCTGCATAAAGCTTGCTTTGCTCTTTATCCGGACCTGTAATGGACCAGCAACCTTTCCAGCCTTTATCGGATTTCGAAAATGGATGAGTGTGGAGTGTAAAAGCCCTCTCCAGAAGCCCAGCATGTTAAAATTCTGTCAATTTGTCAGTAGAAACATTCTATATATTGTTATCGAATGCAAGAAAAATGCTAATAGGATTTTTATCTCAAATTCTCCAGTGTTTAGGTGTTTAACCTTTCACGGGGTGGGTACCGACCCATTTTATTAGGTTTACCACTAGGGGAACAAAAAGGGGTTAACTTTAGAGTTTACAGTTTAAGTTATACCTCTGAGTCAGTGTAAGTCCAACTGTAGATTTTTATATTTTGGCTCTGTGTGAGGTTGTAATTGACTGGTAATCCATTCAGGTTGTACCCCCTGACGTTTCCCCAACAGCAGCTAGAGGAAGTGTCAAATTCCCCCTGACTCTAAATTGGATTAAGTAGGTATTGTGATATTTTTCAAATGAATTGTGAGTGGAATTTGACAAAAGACACAGGCAACCTGAACTCGGAGGCGTCTTTTGGATACGTTTTCATCCTATCTGCATATAGCATCCTGCCAAGGAACCTTTCCAGAAAAGCATTGTATATAAAAGAATTGAATTTCTTCTCCATCATTGGTTGATATCAAGGTGTGTCCAAAGTGTGTCCCGTCCACCACCACAAGCTTTCAGTGTGAGGTCATGTTACTTGACTTTAACGTATGCATTTATTTTAAATGCAGAAATCTGATTTATATTTAAGCCTTTCTTAACACAAAAATAGGCCAAATTCAGCTCAGAATGAATTTAAAAACACAGTTTGCATTAAAGGAAAATGTCCAGTTATAATCAAAGTTGCTGATTGGTATAATCTGCAGGATTCTGTTTTAAAAAGAAAAGTAAGAAACATTTCCCTTAAATGTACTTCATATGTTCGCGGCACATCGACGTTTGGAGCTTCCTTTCCAAGGTATCTTATTCTATACGCGTACAATTCTTCTTTGATGTCACACATTGCAGGAGTTTTACACAGATAATCCAAAGACCTCTGAGGACTATGGATGTATCATCAACCACCGGCAGTTTAGAAGAATTATGGGTCTGATGGAAGGGACTACGATTGCTTTCGGAGGAGATGCTGATGAATCCCGGTGCTACATAGGTATGTAGTGTGTTTCAGGTACTGGCCGTCCCTCCAGGTGTTTGTGAGAATTGACTGTATTAACCCTTTACTACATATGTTGACATCTACTTTTCTCAACTACGAGGATGAAAGAGTGGTGCATTTTGCTTGGTACACAAAATAAAAATGTTGTAAAAAGTATAGCTTTTCACACGACATGTCTCTTGTGTCAGAGTGGTATTCATCACATCATTATTTTCTCCACCAGTGGTGGAACACACAGTTCAAAAACAGCGAGACTATAAATAGGAGTGACCAGAATGCCATTTTTACTGGAACAAACTGAAAAGCACAAGTACATGCTATCTTAGAAATAGCATCTGTTACAACTTCTGGTGGACTCGGCTGACCTCAGGCAGGAGAGAATTTGTGTTTGAAAGTAGCTTCAGTGACCCAAAGGGTTAATGACTTTAACATCTGGGGAGAACTGAGAGGTTTTAGCACTCAGATGTGTGAAGCATGTGCAGTTTAACTGCTGATAGCTTTAAAAATCCTTTAGAATGCTGCAGGCTGAGCATTCCTTTTAATATTCTTGGGAATATCATAATAGAAAAAAGTCCTGCTTTGCTTTTTCTGATTACATTTTAAGTTGTTTGCCTTAAGATCTCGAACATTTCAGGACCCTAACGGGGATATAAGTCCTTTGCCTCAACATAAATCCTTGCTGTATTGGTTGATGGTTTTTAAAGAGAGTTCCTCGTCTTCCTGCAGCTCCCACTGTGCTGAAGAACGTGACGGGTGAATCTAAAATCATGAAAGAGGAGATCTTCGGACCACTCCTGCCTATCCTCACAGTGAGCGGTGTGGATGAGGCCATTCAGTTCATCAACAGAGGAGAGAAGCCGCTGGTTGTCTATGTCTTCTCCCATGACAACAAGGTAAAATGCTTAAAATCTGCAGGCATGTTTATTTACTACAATTCAAACTAAAAGCTTTTTTTTTAAATAAATCAGATGTCTTCAACTTTTAAATTGCTTTAACCCTGTAATGCCAAATGTATCATATCTGATACATGCGGTTTCTGAAATGTTTTGCCTCTTACTCTTTTTGCATAATTTAATGGTAAAAACTACAGAAAAATGATCTTGACCTATCGCATAATAAAAAATTGTTAATATTAGAAATGTATTTCTGTTTTTTCTTTTTACATATTTTGTTCAAAGGCCAAATAAGGAAGTCAAACAAAAAAAAAGTAATTTCCTGTTTTGTTTTAGTCTTGGAAGGGTTAACTCTGATTTGTTTTTTGTTTTTTTTTTTACAAATAGTTAATCAAAAGAGTGATAGCTGAGACTTCGAGTGGCGCTCTGCTGGCAAATGACTGCATTGTTCACTTTCTTGAGAGTTCCCTTCCCTTTGGAGGTGTCGGTGAGTGTGTGTAGCTATGAAACCCACCAGCATCTCTCGATTTCACCATTTAAAAAACCGGTGTCCACGTCTTCCTGACTCAGGCCACAGCGGCATGGGTCACTACCGGGGCCGCCACAGCTTCGACCAGCTCAGCCACCTCCGCAGCTGCCTGATCAAGCAGCTGAGCATGGAGGCGCTCAACGGCGTCCGCTACCCGCCGCACACCGCCAAGAAGCTGGGCTGGGTTCGATTCTTTCTCCTCGGGCAGATCAACCTGTTGTGGATGCGTCGCCTGGTGATAACGGCGGCGCTGGCCGGCTTGGCGGCGTTTGTGGTGCAGGTAAAGGAAAATTAAAGTATGCATCCACTACACAAAGCAAAAAAAAGGATGTTGGAATTGATTCTAAGTGAATCATATTTTGGTGTCGTCATTTCCGAGAAAGTTTATTGGAAATTTCCAACAAATAAATTGTTTCATTTTCACAGTTTTTTACAATTTCTTAAAATAATTACTTCATTTAGATCTAAATATTAATACATTTTTGGTATTCCGAATAGTCTTAAAGTGCTGGTTTCAGATCTCCTAACAGAAACATCCGTAAACACTTTGGGAATGCAAAAAGTCACTACATCTACGCATGTGTAGTAAAGCAAAATATTGTTGTCTTTAAGGCATAAAGCCATTGACACCAGCCTTTTCCATCATTTAATCAAAATTTGAGACTATTCTGGGCCTAGTGCTTGCTCATGGTGGGAATTGTTGGGTTTCTGTAATTATCTTCAGAGTAGGGTCTGACCTGCTCTGTTTGGAAAGCGCTGTGAGACAACTGTTGTTGTGATGTGGCGCTATATAAATAAAATTGAATTGAATTGAATTGAATTAATCAGTGTAGGCAGGGCTTACAGAATGACCGGATCATTTCCGATCGGCACACAAAACTTGTATAACAGCTGGAAAATTTAATTAGTTGGGAATTATTCATGTGGAAGTTGTTTCCAACTTTGTAAATATTACCAAAGACATTTTCCATGTTAATCTGATCAGTGCTCCCCCCCCCCCCCCCCCCACATTGTCACCGTCCTACAGGCCCCTGTACCGTCATGCAACAATGGCCCCAGTCTCTGGCAGACAATGTGTGGTGTTGTCCAGGGAATCTACCCACATAACGCCCCCTCATCTAGCCTCCCGTTAATTACCCAGCATGCTCCGCTCCCCCTCGGCTAAATGACCTCTTTTGTTTTGCCCGACCCCCCACCGCACGCTTTTGTGAACCCACGCGCCGGTTGAGCTCACGTGGAGTCTCCCGTGTCTGTTTGTTGTCGTGTGTTGCCCACAGACGTTCCAGGGATGAGCGTCAGCAGCTGAAGTTTGACCGCCCCCCCCCCCACCCCAGCTGGCCCAGGTGGACCCTGGGAACGGCTACATGGACTGAGGCCCCCGTGGAAAACATACACACTGAAAGAATGACTTGTCCAGTGCATTTCACATTCATGTTCTCTTGTCTTTTACACATCAAGCTGCTTTTAAATCATTATTTAACATGCAAAATGGCATTTGTATTCAACATGGCATGGCTCTGTGTGTATAATTTAAAGTTGTTTTTTCATTTTCAACTTGAATAATCAGAGTAATTTGTTTTTTCCAGGTTAGCTGCCAACACATATTTAATGTCTGTAAGGGTGTCAGCTATTAAACTGCTATTAAACTGAGAAAATAACTCTCATGAACTGTTTCGAAAATATTTTAGTGATCTTTTATTCACATATTTCAAGGCTGTGGTAATTTAACCCTTTAAAGCCCGATCCAAGAATAAAACAAAACAGAAACTTACCTTTTTTTTTTTGTTTTAAGTCTATATTTGCCCTTTTAACAAAATATGTAAAAAGAGAAAACAAAAATACATTTTTAATATTAATAATTTATTACTATGGGATAGGTCAAGATTATCTTTTGTGTAATCTTCTTCCCTCATGTCATCAGGATTATGTACAATTGGATTTTGAGCAAAGTTTTCACCATTAAATTATGCAAAAGGTGTCAGACGCAAAACATTTCAGAAACCTTATGTATTAAATATGATACGTTTGGCATTACAGGGTTAAAACCTGACTGCTTTGACTGATTGGGTGCTGTGGGCCACAATGACCCCCGACAATGGACAAATGAGAAGAGGGGGCACAAGCACTAAAGGTGGAATTTTCCATTTAAAAGTGGGGATTGTTGATATGTATGCATGTATGGCAAGGGATAAAAGAAGCTCCCGGTCACACAGCCTGAGCTTCCCCCGGTTAACTGATCCCAGAGCAGCGTGAATGGTGCACAATGCACAAAGAGAGGTTGGCTGGTCAGCCGGAGAGCCCTGCGCGCCTGGGGTCATTTGAGCCGCTTTGAGATCAGCTGGGCGACGGAATATTCATCTTGTTTTCTGCTGGCGGTGTTGGATGTGGCTTTTACCTGGGCTTCCCTGGACTGCGGTAAGCTTTTTTGATAATGTCTCACGATGTTTTTTTTGTTGTTTTTTTTGTGTCGTCCATTTGTGGAGAAGCACATTGAAGTCACGTGCGTAAAAGTGTGATTTTGTATTTAATTTATGCTTTTTCAGCCCTTAAATTGGCATACATGTTAAATGATTATTGTAACTTCTTAAAAAGAGAATCAAATTATTATTCGGGTGGCTTATAGTGTTTTTTTTAACTGTGTTTCTTCAGAAAGTGGAGAATTTGTGGATATCTTTTTTTAAATTCGATCATAAAGCTTTTTTTAATAATGAGCTTTAAAAATATTTGGATAATTTTTTTTTAAATTCGATGAAAAAGCTATTTTTTTATGAGTTTTAGAATTTTTGGATAACTTTTTTTTATTATTCGATCAAAACAGCTCTTTTTTTTGTAATGAGCTTTAGACTTTTTGTATATATATATATTTTTCATTAGATCAAAAAGCTAATTTATCTAATTTAGTTTGCAATGATATTGTTAAGTGTTTAGGCTATCCCATCTCTTTTTCACCTCCAGTATAATCATCACTGACTAAGGCAATATACTGTAATGAGATTTTTTTTTTTAGGGAGGGGGGGACGGTACATGGAGGAGGTGGGTGGGGGATATGGACTTATTTTTATTTTTATTGGGCCTATAATTTAGAGGATGGCCATGCGAAAATAGATGGAGAGACAACCATCATAGCGTAACGTTGAGCAGATGGTTGACGACTGATTGAACCTTGGATTCCCCCTCCCAGTAGTGCAGGTGGCTGGATGGAGAGGCAGGCGGTGCATCGGGCCAGAGAGGCCTACCTCAGCGGCCGGGCCCGGCCTCTGGAGTTCAGGCTGCAGCAGCTCCAGGAGCTGCAGAGGATGATCACCGAGAAAGAGACCGAGATCTCCACGGCCCTCAAGCAGGACATCAACAGAGTGAGACGCCGCCTTGCCAATGCCTGTCCTGACTAATTTCCCATTCTAAAACCGACCACTTCCCACAGAGTCAGTACGACACGCCGCTCCTGGAGCTGATCGGCATTGAGAATGAGATCAAGCTGGCCATAGACAAGCTCAAAGACTGGGCGGCTCCTCGACCGGTGGAGAGGAACCTCCTGACGATATCGGACGAGGTTTATATTCAGCCGGAGCCCCTGGGAGTGGTGCTCATCATAGGGGCCTGGAACTACCCCTGGGCCCTCACCCTGCTCCCGTTGGTTGGAGCTATCGCAGCAGGTGGGTCCTTCTGTCTCCAATCCTTCAATTTCTTAGCAATTTCAGAGAATCTGGATGGATCGTGATTAATGAAATAAACTGCTTTATGAATGCCCAATGTGCCCAAGAGATGTCCATGTCCTGGCCAACTACAGTGACCATTCAGGCAAATCTAATAGGTGCTGAATGATAAATAATCTTTTCTGATTATATATCTTTATACGCTGCTTTCCTTTAGATGCTGTACGAAAAGGTAACTTAGCCAGCGAAAATTCTATTGATAATGAGTAGCATATTATTAGAAATTGTTTATGACTGTGATTTGTAAACGGATCAAATACATTTTAAACAAGTAAACATTTCCTATCAGTGACTATTGGTACTCAGAATAGTTTATTAGTGTTTTCATCATCATTATTATTGTTGGTCCTGTCTGGTATTATCCTTCTTTACTTGTAAGTATGTGGAAAGGTAGACACATATTAAAGTATTTGGTGCCCAATAATCAAAACATTTTTTTCTTCATAGTTAAAAAAAATGGAGTTAATACATTTAAACATGTTGCTGATTTTAAGATGAAACACCAAACCACACATTTGCCTACTGATGCAAGAATTGGTGTATGACTGTGTGTAAAAGAGGGAAGAAAACTCTGTGTTGCTTGTAAAGTTTAAGCTAAATGAATGCCAAAACGGGCAAAACTTACTTTCCATCTCATATGTAGTCATTCTTCTCTATCTTTCACCGTTCTCGTGAGAAAAACTTCCTATTGTGCCACTGTTCCCCTCCCACCACACCCCCCATCTCTGAATTCTCATCCCCCGTCTTGGCTTCTTTGCATCACTCGGTGATTTCATCCCATTCATAGAAATCCGTGCCCTCTGTCAACAGGCAATGCAGCTGTGGTGAAACCCTCGGAGCTCAGCGAGTATTCGGCCCTCCTGCTCCGCGCGCTGCTGCCTCGCTATCTAGACAAGGTCTCAACACCATCTGCTGTTGTTGATGGAAAGACGCTGTGCAGCATGTCTGTGCCATTAAACCCCTGTGCCAACACAACCCGGCACATGACAGATATTTTTGAAGCCGACTCTATACAAGGAGATGCTCTCGCTCTCCCCAAGGACTCACAAAATGATTGAAATATTTAACAACGATTCATATCTTTTAGTATTTACCATTCGTTCAAATAGAAAATGAGTGCACGAATGCATGGAATAATCAGATTTGCTGTCCATTTCCAGGATCTGTACCCAGTTGTGACGGGGGGAGCGTCAGAGACACAGGAGCTGCTGAGGCTTAGGTTTGACCACGTGTTCTACACGGGAAGTGGCAAAGTAGGGAAGCAGGTGATGGAAGCGGCCGCTCGCCACCTAACCCCAGTGACTCTGGAACTGGGAGGAAAGAGTCCGTGCTACATTGACAAGAACTGCGACATCAGGATCGCCTGCCGGTAACAGGATGCTCACATCACCTTGAAATCAAACAAGAGAGGAGGTTTAAGGGTTTAACTGCTCTAACAAAAAAGTCGTCAGCACTTTTGGAAGCTTGTGAAGGAAATTATTAAATAGCTTTAAATGGGTTTACTTATGTACACTATATAAATTTAAGTAAAGAACAGATTCTGCATCACTTCAACTTATTTATATTTTATATTATATTTATATTTTTATATATTTATATTTTATATTATATTTATATATTTATCAATATTTTTATATAATTTATATTTTATATCATATTATATTTATATATTTATTTATATTTTTATATAATTTATATTTTAGATCATATTTATATATTTATTTATATTTTATATATATATATATATATATATATATATATATATATATA